GTACCACCGCGGTCGAGGTGAGTTCTCGACCTTCGTCCCAGCTCCCGCCTACCCAGCGGTCTCGAAAGCAACCTAATTGCAAGTAGGTAAATGGGTACCCACCCTTAGAGGGGTGGGGGCACCCTGTGTGGTCGGCTGAAGATGGCGGAGATAACGGAGACAGCGGCAGTGGCAGCAACGATGGCGGCGGCGGCAATCCTGGCTTGGACGGCATTGGTGGTGTGGCGAGCAAGGCGGCGGCGAGCAAGGCAAGGTGCGCGCTTAAGCGATCCCTGGCGGCGGAGAAGGAGCACATCGAGGGCTGCCGTGAAGAGAGAAGAAAGGGGCGTGCGCAGATGCCGAATTCCGGCTCAGCGGAGCCGGAAAGGACGTGGCCGGGCCGGAAAGTAGGCGGAGCTGCGCGCCTAAGGATGAGATCGCCACCACTGAACGCCGGAGACGCCAGAGAACGCCAGAGAAAGAACAACGCGCTGGACCAGGAGACCCGGCCATGCCAAGCCAACGGAGAAACAGCAATAGCCACCACAGAGGGGGTGCCGGTAGGTTGTCCCACCCCCCCTTCATACATTGTGGCCCTAGCTAGGAACACAGGTGATTAGCACCAGAAACCCTGTAAGCCGCTCTGAGACCCTAGCCATGGGACAAGAGCGGGATATCAAGTCTAATGTAAATAAAATAAATAAATAAATAAATAAACATCTAGGTGGCACCTGGAGATCTCCTGCTATTACAGTGGGTCTCCGGGTGATCAAGATCAGTTCTCTGGGGAAAGTGGCTGCTTTGGAGGGTAGACTCTGTGGCATTAGACCGTGCTGAGGTCCCTCCCCTCCCCAAACCCCGCCCTTCCCAGGCTCCACCCCCAAAATCTCCATAAATTTCCGAACCCAGAGCTGGCAACCCCTATCACTAGGGGACCCTTTCTGATGGGGAAGCAGCCATTAGCCTGAGGTGGCGCCTCACCCAAAAGGAGAGTTCCTGGCCTATATATCAGCTGCCGCAAAATTTATTTTAAAAAATATATTGCCCACAGGAGACAAATGTGGGGGGCAAACAAGCTTGTGTGTCAGCATGAAGTTCTAGGGTTGCTAACTCCTGTCTGGGGAGTTCCTGGAGACTTGGGAGTGGTGCCTATGGGTAGGGTTGCCAAGTGAGTTTTACTCACCGGCAGGGGAGCCTTGCTGGGCTCCGGGAGGTCTCTGTTTGTGCACGTGCACGCACGCAAAGCGTGCGCGCGCCGCCAGCACGTCACCAGAAGTGACGTGCAACGGCCACGTTGAGGGCATGGCCCCGATCATCGGAGGGAAAACCATAGAGTTTTCCCTCCGACGATCGGGGCCACACCTGCAACGTGGTCGACATGGTTGTGTCACCTCTGGTGACGCAGCCACGCTGTGCTTCGGGGGGCGGAGTTCCCCCCGGGGCCCGATTCCATGGCAGTGGAAATCAGGCCTCCAAAGCAGGGGTTTACCCGCCCACCCGCCCCCACTTGGCAATCCTAGGAGGGAGGGATTTGGGGAGGGATTTCACCTCGAATCTGTTGTACACCATAAAGTCTGCTCTGTGTTAATATTTGCAAGTGTTGATATTTGCAATAATCAGTAGTTCTGCATCCGCTTTCCCAAGCTAGCATCAGTTCATGTGATCTCAGATGTGGGCTCTTCAGCTGCATTCTTTCACCTCACACACCCCTGACCTTTTGATGGGCGTTTGTTTTCTTTTATCAACGGGATGGGTTTCAGCAGGGCGAAAAGCCACTCGCAGCTGGGTTGGGCTCTGGCAGAAAAAGCGCTCTGCGTCTTTTTTTAAGTAGGGTTGTCCTGCTTTTTGTTTATGGGAGAGGTTTGTCTTACTGTTTTTTCTGAACTGCATTGACAGTGGTGTGTCAGGCAGAAATCCCGACAAAGAGGTGTTCTTATTCATGTAATTAACTTGAGGAACTCTCTGCCACAAGATGTGGCGATGTCTATAGGAGTGCCAGTCGCCAGGTAATTATAACTGGTCTCTAGGCTGCAGAGATCAGTTCCCCCTGGAGAAAATAGCTGCTGTGGTGGGTGGACCGCATGAAATTATGCCCACCAAGTAATGTTGCCAATCTCCAGGTGGGGCCTGGAGATCTGCTTTTACAACTGATCTCCAGATGACAGGGAGCAGTTCCCCTGGAGAAAAGGGCTGATTTGGAGAGTGAACTCTGTGACATTGTACCACACTGAGGGCCCTCCCCCCCAAGCCCCACCCCAAAAATCTCCAGGTGTTTCCCAACCCAGAATAGGCAACCCTTTGAAAAGGGGATTCGAGAAAAGTGGGTCTTCACTGTGATAGCAACATAAACCTACATTTGCAGAAACAGTATATCTCTGAGCTCTGGATGCCAGGGCCCAAATAAATAAAGCCACATCAGGCCAGCATCTCTTTGCCCTTGGTACCTTGCTGGCCTCTTCGGGAAACAAAACGGTTGGATTAGATGGAAGACTGAATAAAGTTATCAGCTATAATTAAGAATAAGGACTTCCACATATAGAAGCAGCATGCCTCTGAATGTGAGGGGCAGGCAAGATGCCCTCTTTGCAGCCTACCTAGAGATATCTGGCTGTCCTCTGTTGGAATCAGGATGCCAGATTAGATGGATCTTCTGTCTGATCCAGCAGGGCAAATTAGTACACTCTTGTATGGAGCTCATTGCCGCAAGATGTCGTGAAGTCTGCTAGGTTAGCAGGCTGTGAAACGAGTTTTATATGATCACATGGCAAATAGCCGTGTCTGGCCGTTGACGGTTTGAAAGGTTGTCCCAGAGACAGGAAGATAAAGATGGAGGAGATTATTTATCTATTTATTTATTACATTCCATTTATTAATCGCCTATCCCCACAGCTGTGGAGATGGATGCAAAATGTGGGTCATAACATAGATCTGTTACAATGGAGTAACATGTGTGTAGTGTATTCAGATGCTGCCCTGAATATACTAGGATGAATGTGAAATCATCCCCATTGAGAAGCTATGTTAAGCTTCAGGCTTCGGCAGGGATTCGCGCCGAAGACTTTGTGGCCAATCACATTTGAACTGTATGTAAGCGGGAAAGCTTATGATTGGTCTGTTATGCGATCAACCTGATAGGTTGAATTATGTATAGTAGGTGCGGCTACATTAGCCCGGAATGTTTAAATACCGAGCAGCTGCAATGGGAAGCTGTTCGGGCTATGAGGAGTTGTACCGTGTTGGAGAAGTTGATTATCGAGCTGAATAAACCTGAGTTTTGCTGAAATCACTCTTCGACTCATTGTTAAGCGCCGGACGTAACAATGTGGAAAGTAAATATTAAGTTGACTAAATCTGTTGCATTCAAAGAAAACCTATATAAAATGATTTATAGATGGCATCTAACCCCAGATAGGTTAGCTAAAATGTATAAAAATTTGAGTAATATGTGCTAGAAATACAATAACCATATTGGGTCGTATTATCATATGTGGTGGACATGTAAAAAGGTTCATAAATCCTGGATTGAAGTGCATACCTGTCTACAGTCAATCTTGAATATCACAATACCTTTTAAGTCATAAATATTTTTGTTAAATGGTCTACCAGATGAGTTAGATAAGAATCATAGATATTTTATTTTACGTGTCATAACAGCTGCTAGAATCCTATTTGCAATGACATGGAGGACACTGAAGATACCAACGCTTCATGAGTTGGTATTAAAGATTATGGAATGCGCTGAAATAGACAAGTTGACAAACATATTAAAAGGAAAAATGGAAGAAGAATTTGAGACCCTGGAGGGCGTTTTATGACTGGTTAAAACTCAGATTTTGAGAAAAGAAGATTAAGTGAAGAATAAGGGAGCAGTGGTGCAGGTGGTAAAACGCCTGCAGTAACATCAACGAACAGCCACTATGGCTGTTCGAGACCCACCGCAGCCGGGGTGAGCTCCCGGCCCTAGTCCTAGCTTCCGCCCACCCAGCGGTTCGAAAGCTGTAAAAATAAAAGCAAGTAGATAAATGGGTACCTGCCCTTAGGTGGCAGGGGGCACCCTCCTCCGTGTGAGGTGTGTGGCGGCGGCAGCAGAGTGGCGAGGCAATCCCTGGTGGCTAGTAAAAGCGCAACATCATGTAGCGAGACCCGGCGACAGTGGAGGCAGAGGCGGAGTCACGGAGGGGTGTGGTGACGTGGAGGCGCAGGCGCAGCGGAGCCGGAAATGGACGTTGGCCGGGCTGTGACTGACACGGGCCACGCGCCAGGAGACCGTCGAGCTGAAGGACCTGCTCCTGGACACCAGAAATGGGACGCCGACCCCGAGGACCGCCTGGAGGAAGAAGCCGGAGCCGGAGAACAACTAGCCCTGCTACCTGGGTGCGGGTAGGCAGCCCCATCCCTGTACTATGTGGCCTTAGGGAATTGAATTGTATTTGAAACGTGCCTGTAAACCGCTCAGAGACCCTTCGGGGTCAGAGTGGTATATAAGTCGAATGTATAAACAAAAAAATAATAATAACAATGATAGCTGTGAAATTGTAACGATAAGTTATGCATGCAGAATATTAAATTGGAATGTTGTATACTTTTATACTTCTCTCTCTCTCCCTTTCCCCCTTCCCCCTTCCCCCTCTTTATTATTATACAATCTAATAAAATTATTTTTTTAATAAAAATTCCACCTTTGCTGCACAAACACAGACCTACCCCATACAGGGGATCAGAAGCAGGTATTGTCTCGCAGCAAGCTTAAGCTTTTCTCCTTTTTAGAAATTAATCACTACTTAACGACATGCCAGTCCAGGCAAGAAGTGTGTTCCCCTATCACCACCCCACCTTGACATGGCTGAATCGTTCACTTGATTGTGCACAGTCAATCCCTCACTCTCCCAAACCAGGCAGACTCGTTTGATGCCAGCCCTCGCCCCTCTCAGTTGAGGTGAGACAGGGGAAAAAAATTGACTGTACAGGTGACTGACAAAAGAGGAGGCAGGTGTGGGTGAGGCCCCAGGAGGCGGGAGGACCACAAGGAGAGAGGAGACCTTTCAGCTCCACTCGCCCATTGACTTTATTGTGGAAGAGGCTGAGAGAGGCAGTGGGTCACCAACACAATGGCTTTCATGGCAACAGTCCTGGTGCTGCTGGCTGCCGGAGTTCATGTCGATAGTCGTAAGTCCTTCTTTGGTGGCGGTGGGGGTGTTAGCATTTGGTTGGGTTTCACAGAAAATTAAACAAAGGCTTCTAAGGCGCGGTGGGGAAAAGTATCGGTGGGGAAAAGTATCGTCAAGTCGCAGTTGATTTATGGCTTTTCAAAGGTATTCAAAGCAAGTGGCCAGGGGCGTTTTTCCACTGCCTGCCTCTACGTTGCAAACCTGGACTTCCTTGGTGGTCTCCCATCCAAGTACCCACTAGGGCTGACCCTGCTTAGCTTCCCAGATCTGACAAGACCGCACTAGCCTGGGCTTAACCAGGTCAGGGCCTTCTAAAGTACCATATCCAAAAAAGAGGTGACTTTCCTCATTCTGTTCCTTGATTCCCCCCCCCCCCCCCCCCCTTGTGTCTCTGCACTGCATTCCTCAATTCCAGTTTTGCTGGGGGAAACATGAGTTTGTGGAATTAGACCATGCAGTTTGCCACAGGTTTCTGTGCCTGGAGTCTGTCTGCCTCTTTCCCCTCCCATTTGCATTACCAATGGCTTTGGGGGGGAAAACCCTGCAAAAAGGAATTGTTTCTGATTTCTTAGGTACGGATGTATCCTGTTTCATTTTGTGTGGTACCTTCCTGATATACAAGCATGCTCCTGTGCATGAGTTAAACACTATGTTAAAAAGAATCATTTCTTGCCTTTATTCCATCATGGAAAGGAAGGGAACATTTGTACAACTCCGACTGACTGACCAGACCCAAGCTTTCAGCAAGAGGGCTGCTGCAAGCACATCTAGACACAACTGTATGGGTTGGCTCCAGGCCCACAGCCAGGATTTTGTGGCTTGTGGGGCCATTTTTTTTTCTGGCGGGGCTGAAGTTCTCAGTGCAAAAAGAAAAGCCATTGAGCCAATACAAAGCTGTTACCAGGATAGATCTCTATCTGTCAACCACTTTAGAGGACAGTTCTCAGCTACTGCAGGTTAATCACTTCTGCAAGCCTAAGCAACAAATCTGATAACAAGCCGGCAGGTGGGGGTGATGACTTCTCTAGTCAAGAAAGCTAACACTTAGGCAGAAAAACTCTCTTAAAGAGATCAGTTTCTTGACACAGAGTTAGAAGGGATCCTTGAGGTCACCTACTCCAACCCCCTTGTTCAGTGTGGGAGTTAGTCAAGTACAGCACCCCGCTCTGCTTAAAGGAGGGCACACCTTTAACAAAATGTTTTAAAATGACTGAAAAAAGCATTTACAAGAGAAATTCGTGTGGAGCTGTGCCTTTAAGAAAGGGGGCAGGGGCCCCAATAGCCCCATCATAGCTACGACCCTGGTTGGTTCCAACTTCCAACCAGTTTTTCCACTGGTGAAAAAGGGAAGGAGGGGTCGGTCCACTTTGGTGATCCAAAAAGTTATGCTTGGGATGCACAGACAAAAGCCACGTGGGATCAAGACGGTGCTAAGAAAGGGAACTGAGTAAGACTGAGTGAAAAAGCTGTGTGGATTCAACCTGATGTACAATTGCAGCAAGACTGCTCTTCTTTTCTGCACTGGATATTCCATGTTCCACATCCATATTAAGGAAAGTAAAAGGTAAAGGTCCCCTTGCTCGAAAGCCAGTCAAATCCGACTCCAGGGTTGCGGGGCTCATCTCCATTTCAAAGCCGAAGAGCCAGCGCTGTCCAAAGACGTTTCCGTGGTCATGTGGCTGGCATGACTAAACCCCAAGGCGCACGGAACGCTGTTACCTTCCCACTGAAATGGTACCTATTTATCTACTTGCAATTTCTTGCTTTCAAACTGCTAGGTTGGCAGGAGCTGGAACTAGAGACGGGAGCTCACTCCGTCATGCGGCACACTCGGGTCTCGAACTGCTGAACTGCCGACCTCCCACAGCCTGCAGTTCAGCGTCTTAACCACTTGAGCCACCGCAGCTCCTATATTAAGGAAAGAGGAGAGTAAAAAAGCATAGAAACTGTGGGAAATGGTATGTGCGCAATTCAGGAATGAAGCCTTAGATCACTGGAGGATACCGATGCATTTGGCTTCACTGTGGAAACCAGACAAGATCACGTGGAACACCAAGCCTTGGCTGGTAGTTGGATGGGAGACCACAAAGGAATATCAGGGTTGTGACACAGAGGCAGGCAATGGCAAACCACCTCTGAACGTCTCTTGCCTTGAAAACCCCACGAGGTCACCATAGGTCAGCTGTGACTTGACCACACTTTCCATGCCTGGGAGGTCCAAATTCAACTGCCCACTCTGCCATGGTAGCTTGCTGGGTGACCTTTGGCCAGTCACTCTCTCTCTCTCAGCCTAACCCACTTTTTAGGTTTGTCATTAGGACAAAATGAGGGAAGGAGAACTGCGGACAACACTGTCAGCTCTTTGAAGGACGGGTGGGATAAAAATGTACTAGCGAGATGGGATGAAGCCGTGCTAAAATGTGGAGATGGCAGCTGGCTTACGTGGCTTTAAAAATAGGATTAGACAACTTCATGGAAGCCGAGAGTTCTATCAGTGGCTATTAGAGATGATGGGTAGATGGAGCCTCCATAGACAGAGGCAGTATACCTGCAAACATCAGGTGCTGGGGGAGGAACAATAGTGAGAGGCTTGGTGCTCATAAGGCTTCCGGCACATCTGTTTGGCCACTGTGGACTAGATGCTTTCTCAACAGGTCTCCTGGCAAGGAAATCAAAGAGGCACCAGCAGTGAGCACTAATGAAGAAGAAGAGATTGGATTTACACCCCGCCCTTCACTTCTCAAGGGAGTCTCAGAGCGGCTTACAAACTCCTGTCCCTTCCCCTCCCCACAACAGACACCCTGTGAGGTAGGTGGGGCTGAGAGAGCTCTGACAGAAACTGCTCATTTTCAAGAACAGCTCTTATCAGAGCTACGGCTTGCCCAGGGTCATCCAGCCAGGTGCAAGTGGAGGAGTGGGGAATCAAACCCGGTTCTCCCAGATTAGAGTCCGCGCACTTAACCACTACACCAAACTGGGAATCTTCCAGGGAAATTTTCCAGTTCCAATTTAAATAAATGTTTGAAATATTTAAGTAATGCTGGCAAAAGAAGGCAAATGCACTATTTTATTTATTTATTTATTTGCTTGGATTTGTACCCCACTCTCCCTGGCAAGGCAGGCTCAGGGCGGCTAACACCATAAAAACATAATAACAATAAATATAATAAACATCTAAAAGCAATTAACACTATGCACAAGCCTGGGGAGGGAACGTCCACAGGTCCGTACCTCATACTTCATATCCCACATTTGTAGCACAACAGTATAAAACTCTAGATAAACAGACCATATTTACATATGTGCAGTGGGGCACAACAATTTTTCAAATAAAAATACAGGATTGGAAATTTTTCCACCTGACATCACTGGTGCTGAGCCTGTCTTGGTCCCAGAGCCAGTTTGGTGTAGTGGTTAAGAGCAGCGGACTCTAATCTGGAGAACCGGTCTGATTCCCCACTCCTCCTCCGCATGAAGCCTGCTGGTGTGACCTTGGGCCGGTCACAAGTTCTCTCAGAGCTGTTCTCTCAAGAGCAGTTCTCTCAGAGCTCTCTCAGCCCCATCTACTTCACAGGGTGTCTGTTGTGGGGAGGGGAAAGGAAGGAGATTGTAAGCCACTATGAAACTCCGAGCGAAGGGTGGGTTATAAATCCAATCTTCTCTTCTTCTTCTTCTTCTTCTTCTTCTTGACAAAAGCAGCCAAGGGGGGAGGCATTTTCACCATAACCCAAGGGAAAGGAATTAACCCTTCCTTCCCAACAACATGGTCTGTATCCATATCCTCACCACCGCCTATCTAGACATCATATGAATTTGATCACGGATCCCCAGTGCCACCTGCAGGTTGGCCCTTCCTCAAGGACTTTACAATGGAGAGGCAAAGTTAACCTGATGTCTTCCCCATCTCTCCCCAGAAACTCTCGACAGCTATATCCCTCACATCACCAACCGGGATCTGGAAGGGAAGGTCACCACATCCACCTTTGTCCTGGAGCAACCACGCTGCAACTTCACTGATGTTGGAGAAGACGAGTGGATCTGGTTGCTGGTGGCCCGCAGCAGTGGTAGGTTTTGGATATGACTTCTTTTGCAAGTCCTTCCCAAAGGGATCAGGTACCCTCTTGGAACACACTTCCTATTTACTAGCCATGTCTGCTCTGGTGGGAGAGGACTTAGGCTATTCATGGTCTTCCAAGTTCAGCTCAAGGTGTGGTTGCTCACCGTTTGAAGCAGACTCAAGTACATTGTTCAGCCCATGGGCCTCCACCCTCTTTTGAGGGCTTCAAGCCTGACACTGACTCTTTACTCTTTTTTCTGATCCCTGTAGATGCCAATGTAGGGTTGCCAGATCTAGGTTGGGAAACTCCTGGAGATTTGGGGGTGGGTGGGACCTGGGGAGGACAGGGGCCTCTGTGGGGTCTGATGCCCTAGAGTCTACCTTCCAAAGCATTCGTTTTCTCCATGGGAACTGATCTCGGTAGTCTGGAGATGAGCTGTAATTCCAGGGGATCCCCAGGCCCCACCTGGAGGCTAGCATCCCTCTTTGCCAAGGATGGGAACAAGAAGAGCCAACATCCAACTCAGAGCCCTGAAAAATGGTCTGAGAGACCCAGATGTGGCTGTCTCTTCCCCTCTGCTGCTCCTAACGGCACTCGAGAGATCTAAAATCTTTACGGGAGCATCAGCCTGCCCCAGTGACTCAGGCTGCAGTTTGGCAGGCCGAGGCTCCCAGCAAATGATGACGCAGCTCAAGGGCAGCTGAAAAGCACCAGTAGGCCAGATCATGGGGCCCCTGACTTGTAATGGCCAAACTCTGTTTTAAAGTTTGGCACAGCCCAGTATTAGGGTTGCCAACTCCAGGTTGGGGAATTCTTGGAGATTTGGGGGTGGGTGAGCCTGTGAAGGATGCGGGCATAGAGTTGCCTGATCCAGGTTGGGGAATTCTTGGAGATTTGTGGGTGGGTGAACCTGAGAAAGGTGGGTTTAGGTAAGGTTTCCAGATCCTCCCAGATACCGGTGGAGGATGCGGGCATAGGTTTGCTGGATCCAGGTTGGGAAACTCCCAGAGATTTGGGGATGCAGCCTGGGGAGGACAGGGACCACTGTGGGGTACAATGCCATAGAGTCCACCCTCCAGAGTATCCAGTTTCTCCAGGGAACTGATCTCTAGTCTAGAGGTGAGCTGTAATTCCGGCGGGTCTCCAGGTGCCACCTGGAGGCAGGCATTCCTAGATTTAGGGGAGGGAGTGACCTCAGCAAGATATAATGCCATAGGGTTCACTCCACAAAGCAGCCATTTCCTCTGGGGGAAGTGATCTCTGTGGTCTAGTGTTTCAGGAGTTCTCCAGACCATACCTGGAGATTTGCAGCCCTACCTGGTACCATCTACATGAAATATTGTCTCCTTCCATATTAATCACAGCACTAGTTGAGACCAAAGGACCCAGTATTATTCAATATTTCCTCCTGCTGTCAGTTATAGGAGGCAGGAAATAGGGCCTTTTCCCTGGTGGCCTCTTTTCTCATTGGAACAGTTTCTCAGCGGAGGCTGGGAAGGCTGCATCCCTCATCCAGTTATTGGGAAAGACTGCTCAGGGCAGTAGATGCTTTCATTCTGCAGCATACACCTTTCATGACTGGATTTGAGCGTGTTTCGTGTGACGTTGGTTTTAACTTTAAAAAAATGCAACCGTCTTTATAAATGTGTAAAATCTGCACTTAGGCACAGAAATGGTTTAATCAAAGAATAAAGCCGCCATGTACGTGCATATTCTGCTGTTTTAAGCTTTGCTAAAACAATTGAATCGAGAAGGGCTACCAATGAGAGGGTACAAAATGGAGTTGTCCCATAATTGCAACTGATTTCCAGACTATGAAGATCAGCTCCCCCCTGGAGAAAATGGCCGCTTGGGCAGGGCTAACTGTATGTTTTACCATAGAGTCTGGGAAGCCCTTTCTGCACTGACAGCTTGCTCTGGAGAATCCGAGGAGTCAAGCCTTAAGGTTTGACTTTGCAGTTGCACACATTCCCTCTGCACTGTTTTGTCTCCCTTCAGTTTGTTTGTGTATTCTGTATGCATTCTGCACCTACAAGCAAAACCCACATTTTTGAGCTGACTGACTGCTTTGTCTAAGATGAAAAGAAAGACAAACATCTTTCAAAATTTTTGACTGCAGACCCAACCCCTCCCTCCCTCCCTCTGTGATTCTGCAAAAAAAAGGAAGGGAGGGGAAAATCCAGGCACACACATGCAAGACTGACACATTTGGGAGTAGGGAATCCCCTAGTCCTTTATATTTACTGATTCCTTCTTATGCTCTCTCTGGCTTCTTACAAGTTTGCCTGAGTGGGAGGACACGTCCTCTTTTGTCTTTGGAGAAGGAGAGAAAGAAAACAGAACAGGGAGGGAGCGTCAACCTAAAGAGGGGGGGAATGGGGGAGGGCAGTGGGCAGCATTTACCATTCTACTTTAGAAAGGATTAGCAATTGGAAAGCGGATGAGAACAAAGAATTGCAGCAAAAGGAGTTGATTCTGCAGGGGCAACTGTGCTAGAAGTGGTCTGAATGCAGAGTCCGTAAAACAAAAGCAGAAACAAGAAAAAGCCCTGACACCAGGGGTCATTTCCTGCGGGAGCACACAGGAGCGGAGCTCCGGCAGTAAGGAGCCCAGGGGGCGGGCACATGCAACAAGCCCTGCCACCTGCTCCCAGCAGCCCTCAATTGGGCCATGAGGAGCAAGAAGCAGCCAGGTAAGTTGCAGAGCCCCCCCGGCCGGCCTTCAGGTGCAAGCTCTCCCTTCTCTGTGAGGGCAGATCTGCACTCCCCCCCCAATAGCTAGCAATCCACAACAATCCAGTGGAGCCTGAACAGTGGGCGTTGCCTTCTGACACACTTCTGGTGATGTCAGGGGGTGTGGCATATGCAAAAAAGTTATGTTAATGAGTTATGCTAATGAGCTCCTGCACCTCTGTTTCTACGAAATGACCCCTGCCTGACACAAACTGGAATTGAAAGTGGGAGGGAATGCAGAACGGAAGAATAGGATGCACTTGGAAATTGAGGCAAAATATAGGTGCAGAAAGGGCCAGAGAAGTCTTAGGATGCGTTCAGACATGCCATTTGATCTGGTGCCGTGACAGTTCAGCTCTCCCGTTTAAAGCCACAGTTTCCCCTGTGTGATCGCTCCTCTGGTGTCAAGCCACTTCCGATGATTTAAACCCCCTGTAACGGCTAAGGTGGGGTGTCACCTGATGCTGCCACCACTCTGGATTTAGGTTCCCTTGAGAAGGCCCAGAGCACCCTCCCAAGACCTTCAGACCTCCCTTTAGGCTGAATAACGAGCGTGAGGACCAGGCAGAGTAAAACAAGGAAAGGTTTATTTTATAGGAGGTCAAACAATAAGGTGCAGAATAATAACACCTATTGGTCTATTTTGGCTCCAAAACCTCCCAGGGGCCTCTGGAAATTGTAGGCCCAGCCTCACCTACTGCTAGCCAGGCTCTCTGGGCCTAGTAGGCCTCTGGTAGCACAGTCCAGATCATGACACCCCCCTCCCCGCTCGGAAGTCCGAGGCTGCCACTTTTTGGATGTCATTTTTGTGTGTGTGTCAGTGGTATGTGCATAAGTGGTTGGGAAATTCCTGGAGGATTAGGGGTGGAGCCTGGGGAGGGTAGAATTTGGAAAGGGGAGGGACCTCAGCAGGGTATGATGCCATAGAGTCCACCTTTCAAAACAGATATATCTCTGGGGAACAATCAACTGTATGTTATTTTGTTTCTTTTATATCAAATAATAATTTTGGCTGTGGTTTCAGCTCTAGTCTTTTTGTGTTTGGTTTTGATTTTCCTACATTGGTTTGCATTCTGCGCACATACTGTATGTTTTTGATAAGCCATGTATAGGGTATTGTTGTGAATCTTGTATCGTGTTGATTTACCAGTGCACAAATGCTGAAAAAAGTGTACGTTTTTGTATGAGAAAAATTTGGTGCAACAAAAGAGAAAAGGGAGAGAAAACCGTGAATTTGATTTACACCAAAGGGGAGGCACAATTGAAATGGAGGATTTGGGAGGTCAAAATTGCACGGGTGAGAAATCCAAAATCATAGCCATGTTATTCTGTCTGTGGCCGCAGAAAAGAACAAGAGTCCAGTAGCACCTTAAAGCATAAATGAAGCATAAATGAAATATATAAAATGAATAGTAGCACCTTAAAGGCTAACGATATCTGTGGCAGCGTATGAGCTTTCGCCGCGCAGGGCTCTTTTTGTAGCAGGAGCTCCTTTGCATATTAGGCCACACACCCCTGATGTAGCCAATCCTCCAAGAGCTTACAGTAGCCAATCCTCCAAGAGCTCTGTAAGCTCTTGGAGGATTGGCTACACTAGGGGATGTGGCCTAATATGCAAAGGAGCTCCTGCTACAAAAAGAGCCCTCATTGCTCACTTCTTCAGTGACTCATGAGACTCCCTCCCTCCCTCCCTCCCTCCCCTGAGCAGTTCTGTTCTCATTTTCTCTCGTGGAGTTCGTGGTATTGTCATCTTCTTGTTACAGGCCCCCCCCCTCCCCCTCAATTAATTGGTTTCCACATTTGCTTTGCAGCTGCTGAAGGAATTCCCCTGCCCAAAGTTCCTAAGAATCTACCCTACCAGTCTTTCAGCACTAACTCCGCTTATATGACCCTGGAGACGGCTGCCGTCAACTACCCTTGTGCAACATCACCAGATGAGATCACCATTCTACGGGTTGGAACCGAAACCTCGTGCATAAAGGATGCCTCGACACCAAACTGCAATGGCCCCCTCCCAGACCCTGGGCCCTACAAGTAAAGCTACCCCAGTTTCCCAAACCTCCGAAACATTTATCTTGTGTGTAGAAAGGAAAATATCACCGTACTGGCTCTGGCTTTGCTTGAGCAGGTCTCCGTATCCAAGCCAAGTAGGGCTGTCAGCCTCCAGGTAGTGGCTACAGATCTCCTGCTGTTACGACTGATCTCCAGGTGACAGAGCAGAGGTCAGTTCACCTGGAGAAAATGGCCACACTGGAAGGTGGATTCTGTGGCATTCTACCCCATTGAAGTCCATCCTCTCCCCAAACCTTGTCCACCTCAGGCTTGACCCCCCAAACCTCCTGGTATTTCCCAACCTGGAGCTGGCAAACCTGAAGCCGACGGGAGTATCCACTCTTGAATCCTCAGCACTCCACAGTTGTTGTCCTAATGGCGATGTGGAAAGGGAAGGCTTTAGTCAGCTTGTATTGGAGGAGAACCCCTAAATTTGATTTTACTGGCCCTTCTTTCCCTAGAGTCCGGTTTATTGTAATAAGACCCGATAACACCACTAAGTCTAACTGGTCAGATGACATCATACTGATTCAAGGTAATTGTGAATGGAGACCATCTATTTGGTGGTGGAAAGTGACGTCAAGTTGCAGCTGACTGACGGTAACTCCGTAGGGTATTCAAGGCAAGAGAAGAACAGAGGTGGTTTGTCATTTTGCCTGCCTCTGCATAGAAACCCTGGACTTCCTTGGTGGTCTCCCATCCAACCAAGTACTTGGATGTACTACCTTCTGAGATCTGCCATCTATTTAAGTGCTTTGAAATACTTAGATATGTTGCCGTTCTGTCTTTCTGTCTTATAAGCAAGACTCGGCAGATTCCATTAAAAACAGGGCTGAGACATTTGATAGTACATTTACACAGAAGTAAGTCTAACTGGGTTCCGTGACTTTTAGTCCCAGGGGAGTGTAAGGCGCTACAGTCAACTGTGCTGTCTGAGGAAAATGAATGGAAAAAAACTTGCAGTGGAAGGAGGCTGTTAATAAATATTTTATTTAAGTGAATAATAAAATTCGGGAATCAAATCAATAGCCACCCCACTGGACATTTTCAAAAACCTGCTTGGGAAAGGAAGCATGAACTTATACAGGTTTTCTAAAAATGCCCCCCCACACACACACAATATGGCTTCCTCTTGACTTCCATTGCCCATCCAGTGTCCAACCTGACAAAATGACATGGCCCTTCTGTGACATTACAGCAGTCAGCTGGGCAAGCAAGGGAGGAAATAACAAGCAAAGGGCAATGGGTGTGTTTTGAGCTGAGACTCTCTTGAGAGAGGGCGATATGCACTGCTGAAGAGATAAGAGGAAAGGGTTCCTTCCCACAGCAGTCACTCTTCCACGGATAATATTCCTCCCTACAAACACACACATTTTTATCCCACTTGGGGTTCCAGACGCACATTTGTGAGGCAAACACAGGACAAAAGTATTGGTGGAAGTGAAAGCAGTAGGAAAAAGGGAAATTTTGAGAAAGGCAGAAAGTCTACATCCCCTCTCATCTCTTCTCTGTGGAAGCCACCTCCTCCTTTTCCTGGGGTGCTTTGAGGGAGCTAGGACTGTAGAGACCTACCACAGTATAATGTTTACCTGGCTGTTGTTGTCATGTTTGCAACTGAAGTCTCAGACAGCAGGTATGGTGAAGTGGTAAAGAGAGTGAGCCGTGAGCCAAGAAGACCCCTGTTCAGAACTTGCCTCTGTTCGCAAGATGGTCTCCCTCAATCTCAGCCGGAGGTGCAGGAGGAGAAGCAGAAGGAGAAGCAGAAGATTAGAGCAGGGGTCCTCAATGAGGTGCCCTTGGGTGCCATGTAGGGTTGCCAGGTCCCTACCGTTACCTGGTGGAGGGGCTGCAGGCTCTTCTCTGGGGTCTTCTGGTGCATGCACCACTATGACATCGCCCAGAAGTGACATCATCGTGCTGTGCATGTCATGGGGGGATGCTCTACCATTCAGCCAAAACCTCTATGGTCACCATAGAGGTTTTGGGCGAATGCTAGAGCATCCCCACCTGTCACCTCCGGGTGATGTCATTGGGCTGGGCACGTTGGGTGTCACGGGCCTATATGGGGGCAGGGCTCCCCCTGCTAGCAGGTGGCCAGCGGGTGGATTGGGGCCCCCAAAATCTGGGGAACCCCCGCCTCCATTGGGGGGATGGCAACCCTACTTCCATGGCACCCACCAACACCTTTCCTGGCACATGCCAAGTGTTTTTATAAAGCAAGTGGGGCCAGATGGGGCTTTTGCTTGGAGGGCTTCTGATTGGCCATTGGAGATCTGGTTGGCTGAAGATATATATATTTTTTTAATGTTGCTTTGGGAGCAGCTGCCACCACAGCAGAAGGCTCTTCACTGAGTGACTAAAAGTACACGTAAGAAAATGTTTTGAAAAGAGTGTGATCATTTTACAAGGCTTCTCGTTAAAGTTTTGCTTGACATGTTAAAGCCTGACTATCAGAGTTGCACACCGTCTCACTCCTAGACGCTCTGTGGTTGGCTCCGCCTCTTGCAGTGGTCATTTTGCGGTTGCACCCAGCACCACGTGTCAGCACTCCAAAGCCGCCCACAGGCTCAAAAGGACTGGGGATGTCTGGACTAGAGAAAGGATGAAGGTGAAGTTTTTTGAATGCTCTGAAGAATTAAACCATTGCTGATTATAATGATCATTCTCTTTGTTAGGGAGAGACTACACCACTATTAATACGTCGCCCAGACGGGGGAACAAAGGAATGATCGCCCTCACTTCCATCCTCTCGGTCCTCATGGCTATCCTGTTGGCCTCCTTCATTGCTATCCTGATCTATAAATGGTATGTGTTTTGTTACCCAAAAAAAAGGGAGGTGTGATGAACTATGAAACACCACTCTGGGGGGAGGTAGTAGCAGAGGCTCACTCTGATTGGTGAGTCGCAGGCCCGTAGCTAACATGGGACCCACGGGGCCCGGCCCCCTTGTGTTTCTTCTGGGCCCCCTCCCTCCAGGGCTGCCCCCAGAGTGCTCCAACTTACCACCTGCACTGTACTTCCATTTAATTAGCTGGCGCCCCCCCAGGCCCCCTCCCAAAGAATTCCCTAGCTACAGGGCTGGTGAGTCGCCTCCAGGACCACGGAAGCATCCAGCAGGGGGCTGGGGGGGAAAGAGAGCTGACAGTTGGAAGGGTGGTTGGAGGGGTTCTATTTGGGGGAGAGAGTGAATCTAATGGAGGAGGGGGCCTTTTCAGTGGCTACCTTCAGAGAGAAAACACTCAGTCTGGGAGACAGTGGCAGGATGTCCCAGAGAGAGGGGCAGAGCAGACTCTGCTGAAGGGATTTGCCAGAGTAGAAGGTCAGACCCAGGTTAAACAAGAGAAAGACATCCACTCACACAGGGACTAGTTGGGATTCAAAGCCAAATCAGGGGAACCCTGGTTTACTGGTGGTATAAATTCACTAGTATCACAACTGCCTGCTTAGGAACCTTCTGATAGGGTTTATAATTTTTACAAGGGGTGGCCCGCGATACTCGCGGGGGGGGAGGCGGAGCTCCAAACTGAGCTCCGAACTCAGGAGGCGCAGGAGGAAGCAGCAGGAGAAGGTAATCCCCCCCCATCCTGCTGGTTCCTCCCCCGTATCCTCCCCCCCGCTCGATCTCCTCCCTCTGGCCTCCCCCCCCTCCGGCTCCGAAGTGAGGTTTGGGTTTCTATTCCAGGGGTCACTTTCCATTCTGAGCAACAACGTCCGCTCAGCCTGACATGCCCCCGTCGGCTTTCCCAACGTGACTGTCTCGCCTGTTCAGGGGAGGGGAGTAGCTTATCGAAGACTACAATTCCCAGAAGCTTCTGCTCCCCCCTTCCCTTCCCTTGGCCGTCAACTCCCTTCTCTCCCGGCCTCGCGCACGCTCTGGCCTGTTAACCGGTGAGTGTCCTCATTCCCACTCCCCTTTCCTCCATTTCGCTGTTCTCTCTCCTCCCCCCGCTCCGATGCGAGGGCAGAGCTGCGAGCCGCCCTCGCCGGTCTTCCCCCCTCTCCCGGCTCGCGGCTCGCCTCGCGGCGTTCACAGAGCGTTTCGTGCGCGTGCGCACGGAACGCTCTGGCACTTTCGGGGGGATTTAAACATCCCCCGAGGTTTTTTCCCACTTTTTGGATTTTTGTGCACACGTTGGCACCGCCCCACGTGTGCACAAACCTCTCCCTCCCCCCCAGGTCCCCCCGATGTGCGTATTTAGCTATCCGCACAGACGGGGCGACTTCAGTATTAGTATAAGGATTAGTTCTTCCTGAGTTTGGGAAAGCCTAAACATTGTTAATAGTGTTTGTAGCGGGCACTTGTTGGTTGCCAACTGTTTGCTCTCATAAAACCTTTTCCCCATTTCCCTGCCTTTCATTAAGAATAAATCTTTCCTCTTATTTCATTTTTAAACCCTGCTATTGGTTCCATTCTTTCATACCTGTCGGGAAAGGTTTGGGCTCCTGAGGTTCCCTTTACCTGAGGAGGGTTCCTCACTGGAGGTCATGACAAATTGTGAGGGAAATAATTCAGGAAATACCCCTCTTTCCAAATCTTCCATCCAAGATTTTAAGAGGGTTCTGAGTAGACTTATTTCACCCTCTAGTTTTTGTCCTTTAAATGGCTCTCAACTGCTTTCAACATTCCATACCCCCTGGATCACAGTCAGCTTATCAGGCCATTTTGTTTTAGTTTATATTTATTTATTTATTTGTATCCCACCCTCCCTGCTGAGACAAGCTCAAGGCGGCTTATAACATATTATTCTGAATATCTGGGAAGTTCCCTGAGTATGTAAAAGATTCTAGCTTTCCTGTGAATGGCTGTTTCCACACAGGGACAATTCTTCATGCCACTGCAAGTTTAGAGGCATGTGCTTTGACAGTGAAGTATCTACATGGCCATTTCTCCCGCACTCTCCTTGCCTCACCTGTGGCCACCATTTCCCCTTGTACCACCAGAGGATTTAAAAAAACAACAACTGCTAATTGACAGAGTGGTATAGTTCACTGACACTATAATGATTTATTGACACAATCTTCTAGTTCCCGGCTTGCTTGCTTTTTTAAAAAGTAAAGTCTGGCCATTTTTATTGTGGAGTTATAAAGGGAAAGGTCCAGCCTCACCTTTCCCTTCTAACTCTTCAATGAAAAGAGAGACATACTTTTTAAAAAACGAACTCTGGGAACTAGTAGCTCATGCTAACAGGTCGTTATAACATTGCTTTGCTAGATACCAATCTGTCAATGACCAGTTTTTTTAAAAGGCTCCCAAACGCTTTTTGTTCGCAGGGGGAAATGGCAGTAGTGTGGGCTGAGTCAAGAAAAATGGCACTGATGTGGACAGGAGCTGTGGAGATACCTTCCCATCCACAGATACTTTGACTGTGATGTTTTTGAAAAGATTGTACCAAAGTAGGCTGTAGCCAAGCATATGAAAACAGACTTTAATAGAAGATGATGTCACATGGATGCTCCCCCCCAAAAGCACTGCAGTAAAGAAGCCAAGATGGAGCAAAGCTTTCATATGGAAGCTGGCAGTTATCTGGTTTCTCTCGTTTTGTGTTCAGTACAAACCACCCACGTTACTATTCAGTGTAGTGTTGAATAGTGTGCATAGTAACACAGTATTTCCAGCAACCAGTCTCTGTTAATAAGCACAAGGAAACAGTACAGATTTTGCATCCTCTTGTTACGCCAGTGTCATAATATATAGTATTTTAAAAATAATTTTACATGAGAATAATCTATCAGAGAAATCAGTGCCTCTCAACAGTCTCTCTCATTATTTTTTAAAAATATATATAACCCACATACCCTATTAAAAACAGGAGGCAGTTCACAATCCACTATTAAGCACATACCAATAAAATAGATAAAAACCTGCTTAAAAATCAATTAACACCCCACACATGAACTAATGTTATATGGAAAACAGCCGTAGATACAAGCATCAACCCAAATTGCAGAAACCGTCATGATCTGGCTTAGCCCCGCCATTCTGTGAGCCTAGGAAATCTTTGTCCCAGACGTCTTCCTCCCATCTTGAGGCAGGACCAAGGCAGATCATTAAAATCCCCACAAAAATTCTCTCAACATACCCTCTTCCCACAAAAATAAAGAAGCTTTCTCCTGGTACCTAACGTTTAACAAGCTTGGTGCTCAGGGAAACAAGGTGGGAAAGGACTTCCAGAGTTGGGGGGCTGCCACGGAGAAGACCCTGCCCCTGGTCCTCTCTGCTGAAGGTGGGGTAGCACAGAGCAGGGCCTCTTGTTTATGAATTATGTAAAGCTTTCTACCCTTCAGTTTTCCTAACCAGAGCATAGAACCAATGTTTTGCAAGACACACCGGGAACTGTAGATTCAAATATAACCACATTAAAAAAAAAAAAATCAGAACAAATCACCTACAGTGGTTAACAGCTGCCTTGAACCACAAGGAAAGGCAGGGTATAAGTGTTTGAATAAACACATTTATTAATTAATTAACAGCGGAATCTAGCAGCAATCCAAACCAGAAACACAACACCAATATAAATTGGTAAACTCAGGGCCAAACCGGATAAGATGTGTTGTTTGCCAATTGTTACTTGATGGTAGAGCTGCCAGCAAGTAGCTGGCAACCAGCAGGAGAGGGAATCATGTCATGGCCAGATGTCTCTTCCAGTGAATACCTGGAAGCAGTGCCAGATTTACGCATAAGCTAAATAAGCTACAGCTTAGGGCCTCGAAATCTGCTGGGGCCTCAAATAAAAACACAATATTAAAAATGATTTCAAATATTAAAAAGGCGTATATATTTTAAATTTTTCTGAGACCAGCTGATGTAATTTAAAACAGTAGAGGGCCTCTGGGTTTTGTATAGCTTAGGGCCTCAGCAAGTCTAAGTCCGGCCCTGCCTGGAAGTGATGTCATATCACTGGTGTGATGTCGATGCAATGCTCTAGGATTCTGACAAAACTCTGTGGTAAAACCTAGAGCCTCATGATGGCAATGCAACATCACTTCTAGGTATTCATCGGAAGTGATGTCATGCCATTAGTATGATGACAGGGTTTTTTTAGAATTAACGACTGAAAAGAGCTTTTTGACAGTCCCATCTGTGATTGAGCCAGATGAGGTTTCGCTGTTGGCGGGAAGACATCTGATTCCTTTGAGGCTGGCTGTAGCATAGACCAATCCAAACATCATGTTCTGTCCTCACTCTGTGTCCACTTTCTGTGTTTTCTTTTTCAGTTCCGACAATTGCGGCAATGCTGATATCGCAAGCATCCGGGATGCAGCAACAGTGACCCGCTACTCCACCCATCATATGTACAATCATCCTACATCCAGTTCATGAGTTTCTACATCCTTCAACATCTTCGTTCAGTCCCCCTCCTCCTCTATTCATTAGGACCAGGGGTCTTGTTGTAGAAAAAGAGCTGCCGGAGCTCATTAGCATAACTCATTAGCATAACTTATTTGCATATGCCACGCCCCCTGACATCACCGGAAGTGACAGAAGGCCACACCCCCTGACATCACCGGAAGTGTGTCAGAAGGCCCAGCTACTTACCCTCCTGCTTCATCCTCATTCCCAAACGGAATGAGGATCGAAGCAGAGGGCGGGGTAAAGAAGGGGCGGGGCTTCACCACGTGACCGCCCCGCCCCCTAGAGGTTCTCTTCCGGAGCTCCGTACCTGAGAGCTCCCCCCCGACTAGAGCCCTGATTAGGACCATGCAGAAAGCCTAACTGGACAGCTGACCTTTGAAGTAGGAACTCCAAATCAACCCCCTTTTGCCTTCTCAGCACATGTGGGGAAGGGAGAGACCAGGAGAGCCATAATCATCTTCTACTGAAATCTAAGCTTTGGGGGGTCACTATATTCTATTGGTTATATACCAGTTTAACCATGGCCATAGCATTCTGGGAACTGTAGTTTTGGAGAAGGTACTGAGAACTATGTGGTGATCCTAAGCTCTCCCTACTTCACAGAACTACAGTTCCCCAGGGAGAAAGAAAGACTGCTAAACCAGTTTCGGTTTGTAGTGGAGATGCCCTGTTAGACTTCTTTTTGGTACTCAAGAGCCAATTTATCCAACCAAGGGAAGGCCAAGACTTGCCTTCTCTTCACATGTTGACTTGGGGGCAGTTGCACAGAAGAATTGTCAGGGGTCATTTCGTAGAAAAAGAGGTGCAGGAACTTATTAGCATAACTCATTAGTATAACTTATTTGCATATGCCACACCCCCTGACATCACCGGAAGTGTGTCAGAAGGCAACACCCACTGCTCAGGCTCCACTGGACTGTTTTGGATTGCTAGCTATTGGGGGGGGGGGACACATGCAGCTCTGTCCTCGCAGAGGAGGGAAAGCTTGTACCTGAATAAAACTTGGTCTTAAAGGTGCCACTGGACTGTTTTGGGCCGGGGGGAGCTCTGCAACTTACCTGGCTGCTTCTTGCTCTGACTGAGGGCTGCTGGGAGCAGGGGGTGGGGCTTGTTGCATGTGCCTGCCCCCTGGGTTCTTTACTGCCGGAGCTCCGCTCCTGTGCGCTCCTGCAGGAAATGACCCCTGGGAATTGTGCTTGCACTGTTTTGCAATGATCTCGCAAGAGTTTGATTCACGGTTTATGGCATCTCTGGGTCTGTAAACGTTAGGAATATTAGGCATGACAGATGTTTTATTTTCAAAATCGCTTGACCCCTCAAATGCCTGTGAACACTTGCAAGAGTGCCTCTCAGCTAGGATAGCCTACCTCCAGATGGAACCAGCTCTTCCAGAAGTACAGCTGATCCCCAGATCACAGGGATCAGTTCCCCTGGAGCAAATGGCAGCATCAGTGGGCAGACCGTATGGTATAAAATAGATTCCAGGGAAACCCTGCCACAGGCACCATCCCCAAATCTCCAGGATTTCCCCAGGCCATAGTTGGCAACCATATTTTCACCCAGTGAGCATGCTTTAAAAGAAAAAACTATCCCCCACAAGAAGACCTCAGGGTCAAGTATATGTGACACACTCAGAGTGCGTCTTCTTGGAATGGGGAACCTAATTCTGTTTGCAAAAGCAGAACTTGAGGCCTCTGAGCATACACAAAATATCTTTAAAGAATCCCTTTGGGGAAACAATTTAACTTATAAAAAGTAGGATGAAATTCTGGCCAGGGCACTACATTTTTTTAGTCAGCTGAGATAAGAACCCTAATAGGCACTGAATGATGACCCCCTACTTGTGAACCGGTCCCAAGCTGCTCAATCGTTTCTTCTCTGAGGCAAGTTTGTAGTTTTATTTGAAGGGTTGTTCCTTAAACAAAAGCCCCAAAAATAAAACCTCATGGCACCTGTGAACGTTATGGATACCCCCATATTTCGATGTCCCCAACTTTTTTGAGCCTGCGCTCAGCCGTGAAACTAACTGGGTGACCTAATGGATCAGTCAGTCAGTCACTCTAACAAACCTCACAGGGTTGTTGTGAGGATGGAAAGGAGAGGAGAGGAGACTGATGTAAGACTGATGTAAGCCATAGATCAGTAGATAGATCAGGTGAGAGCCCACCTCCATTATTATTTTTATGCGTTATTTGGAATCATTGTTTTTTTAAGTTTTGCAGTTCAACGGTGGGGGGGGGCATTTTTAAAAATGAGTTTTAATTACACAGATCAGTTTAAAATGGCAGCATATCCCGTGATACAGTGGCAATATTGCCCCAGAAAATGTGACTTTTTAAAGAAAGAGCTGAGTGCAAACTTCACTCTGCAACTAGGAAGTGCAATATTAACCCAACACACAGGAGACCTCCTAAGAGGAGGGTGTACAGCATTAAGACACAAGCCAGGATCCTTTGGGTATGCTGAAGGACCTTGGCCAACAGTCCCATCTCTTCAGACATGGTCAGCATCAAGAGTTCCTAAATCACCACAAAATATGCAGATTTGAGGTGCCTCGGTGGACAAAGGTAGCTTTGCAATAAGATCTCCGGCTGGATGTCTGGAAAGTTCAGAACTGTTGTGTCTCTTCTCTTGGCTCCATTCTTTTTGCTTGGATCTTCCTGTGGGAGAGGAATACATAATGTGCCAGGCACATTCAGAAAAAGTTGAAGAGGTTCAACAAATGCTAAAATAATTTAAACGAAGTCATTAAATCATTTAAAACCGAATGGACGCACAATTTAAAACCATGTAAAAACACTTAGCAGAGGGAAACACAAGTGAGGTAACTACATGGTGAAGGATCTTCTCTATTAACTGTGATGCATTTGTTAAGAAGAGGGCTGCTCTCACATTTCATAGATCATTAAGAGTTCCACTTCTGCCATTTAAACTCTGAGAGGAAAAACTCTGAATTGTGAATTCCACCCCCATTGAAATGTAAACACCTTAGACTTTTGGTCTCCATTAGTTCTTTTCTTGGGGAGGGGTGTCCAGCATCCAATATAACATCACTTGTCATATTGTATGCCAATTGTTACATACTTAGGGACAGGGGTCATTTCATAGAAAAAGAGGTGCAGGCGCTCATTAGCATAACTTATTTGCATATGCCACACCCCCTGACATCACCAGAAGTGTGTCAGAAGACAACTCAGGCTCCACTGGACTCTTTTGGATTGCTAGCTATGGGCGGGGGGACGTGTAGATCTGTCCTCGCAGAGGAGGGAGAGCTTGCACCTGAATAAAACTTGGTCTGAAAGGTGCCACTGGACTGTTTTGGACCGGGGGGGTGGGCTCTGCAATTTACCTGGCTGCTTCTTGCTCTGACTGAGGGCTTCTGGGAGCAGGGGGCGGGGCTTGCTGCATGTGCCCGCCCCCTGGGCTCTTTACTGGCGGAGCTCCGCTCCTGTGCACTCCTGCAGGAAATTACCCCTGCTTAGGGACAATAAGTACCACTTTTCAACACACCACTGCATGACAGTTCTATGCTGAGAGAAAGTTAAGAGCATGCTCAAACATTCAACTAAAAATAGTGTAACATACATGCTTAATTTGTACAGCTGCTATAAATTCTACAGTTGCCATGCAGCGGTATAACTGATACAGGTCACCAATGCTAAGTGACACAACTCTCTCCCAACTCTCTTATGTACACTTTAGTTTCACATACAAAACAAACACGAACCACACAACAGGGACTATACAATTAAACAGCTGGGCTGAATCAGTGGTCTCACAGTAGTCAGACCTCATCAGAAAGTTAACGATAGCCTTGTTGACATCTACATAACTACAGAAGAGCTGAAATTTTATTATTTATTTATGTACTTTATAATCTGCCTTCCTCACCAAGACTCAAAGTGAATTGCAAGGATATAAACAGTGCAAGCATAAGACAATTAGTGAACAATGAGCGATGCAATAGGACTAGTTATTACAGAATTGGAAAACAGCGCAAGCAGCAGTCTTAGGCAAGGTATATTGTAAACAATACAGAAGGTAGATTACAGGGTATAAAATGGGTCCCCAACTTTATCCATATAATCCATCATAGGAAAATGAAGAAGCCAAAGCATCCCTCCTGATGCATTGAAGCAGCCTTTAGGGTTGCAGAGTAGAACTGAAGAGACCTTGCCCAATGAGTAATACAAAAGCATCATCTTAAAAGGAGATGGAACGAGACTCTCAGTAGTTGTTCTTTGTTCTGAAGGACCAGAACTCTGAAACACTGGGGAAATGACCTAGGAAAAGTGTTGGACTTTTTGGATATTTATCTTGTATATTTATTCTTTGGTGTCTGCATTTTCTAATGATGAACTACTTTGGTTTCTACATTTTCCTATGATGGATTATATGGATAGATTTTTTCCAGACAATAGATGCATTTCACTTTGATGAAGTCTCCTTTGTGAATATTCTGCGGGAAATTCAGCTCTCACAGTTGCTTTTTGTATTCTTTGTGACCCGTGGTATAAGACAACGCAATAAAAGCAGGTGACACCTTTGTTGATATAGCAGAAGGAATTATTAAAAACCTCAAAGCCCAATATTTCAATGTACATTTTTAATTAATTTTGGGGCCTGTTTAAAAAGTTGTGCAATCCCCTCACTCCACCACTCAAGTCCAGGAGGGGATTACATGTTCCCCATGTCCAAAAACATGCTGTCCACCACGGAGGCTGCCCCCCCTCCCCCCCCTCAAGGCCCACCATACCCAACTGCAAGAGCATCTGCTGCAATCTTTTTTAACTGCCTGGGGATGGAACATTTCAAGGACGACATATCTGTAGGTACCAGAGGACCTGCGCCCCTCCGTTCAGCCCTGCAAATGCCCTCTCCCCTAGATGCTGCATCTATGTGAACTCAGCAAACACAGGCTTGGGTCACTTTAGTGTTTCCAACCTCCAGGTGGTGGCTGGAGATCTCCTGGGATTACAACTGATCTCCAGGGGGACAGAGATCGGTTCGTCTGGAGAAAATGGCCACTTTGGAAGGTGGACTCTATGACATTATGCCCCATCGAAGTCCCTCCCCTTCCCAAACCCCGCCCTCCTCAGGCTCCACCCCTAAAATCTCCAGGTATTGCCCAACCCAGGGCTGGCAACCAGAGACCACATATTCATCAACCAAATGTTTAGTCCTTTCCTTATGAATGCAGGCCAAACTGTCAATTTTTGTTTTAAAGCTGAGGGATTTGTGCCTTTGGTATGCATTATTGAGCGCAGAGATCCATTTTATGGTGAAGTGGAATGGGTGTCATGTAGGGCTCCTGCACTGACTGGAAATGCTGAGGAAAAAGGAGTAGGTGGGAGAGATGCCCCCCAGCCCAATCCTCCCACTTTGAGTTTGCACTGTGCAGAGAAAAAGCTGGTTAAAAGGGGGTCTAAATAATAACAAATAGGAGCTGCGGTGGCTCAAGTGGTTAAGACGCTGAACTGCAGGCTGTGGAAGGTCGGTAGTTCAGCAGTTCGAGACCCAAGTGTGCCGCATGACGGAGTGAGCTCCCATCTCTAGTTCCAGCTCCTGCCAACCTAGCAGTTTGAAAGCAAGAAATTGCAAGTAGATAAATACGTACCACTTCGGTGGGAAGGTAACAGCGTTCCGTTCGCCTTGGTGTTTAGTCATGCCGGCCACATGACCACGGAAACGTCTTCGGACAGCACTGGCTCTTCGGCTTTGAAACGGAGATGAGCACCGCAACCCTAGAGTTGGACTCGACTGGCTTTTGAGCAAGGGAACCTTTACCTAAATAATTAAATGGCATGTGTTCTAGTAATTAAAAGGCAAAACACCAGGGGGAAAGGACTCAAATTAGTCCATACTACTTGAATATAAAGTTACCGATTAGTGCGACATTGTAGGCCCTTTTACTTTCTTTCTACATGTGTCTTTTTAGGAGGTACACTACCCTTCTTCATTGCTGTAATGTCCTCTTTAAAACAAACGCACACGCAAGCCAACGGGGGAGGTAGACTACAGAGCTCCCGGCTAGATCACACTAATCTAGCATCTTGTTTTCTAATTGTGATACTTCTGGGAAACATATATGCCTGGCACAATGGCAACAGCCTTGCTTCTCCCCACCATCTAGCGGTAGACTGCCTCTGAACATGGAGACTCCATGTAATTATCACGCCTGATAGGCACTGATAAGAAGGGAAGAAGAAATTGCATTTGTACACTACCTGAAGGAGCCTCAGAGCAACTTACAATCTCCTTTCCCTTCCCCTCCCCACAACAGACACCCTGTGAGGTAGGTGGGGCTGAGAGGGTTCTCTCTCGATAACTGCCCTTGATCGAGCAGCTTTGAAAGAACTTATGACTGACCCAAGGTCACACCAGCAGCTGCACGTGGAGGAGTAGGGAATCAAACCCGGTCCTCCCAGATTAGCGTCCACACTCTTAACCACTACACTACACTATCCCCCATTAATTTGTCTGTAAAATCCACCCCCTGCCTCTGGGTCTGTGTCAAACATTACAGAAAAAATGGCAGTCTTTTTTTTAAAAAAACATCTGGGGAAATATCCCATGTGGCACAGACCAGTGTGAGGACAGAAACAGGTCAGTCTATGAGCCTGGCTATACCACAGCCTCTTTCTGGTCCAGAAAACCGCTGCTTTAAAAGGTCTCCACTTACCTTAGCTTCTCCAGAACTTCTGCCAAATGCATTCAAAGGCTCAGGGTTTCATAGTCAACTGCGAAATTTACAGAGCACAAGCTCTATCCTGCCATCTTAGCTCTACGCTTCTTCTGAAATGAACCCAGACTCCTTTTCTCTCCTGACTCTGCCACCCCATCTGCCTTATAATGGTAATGCTGGCAGAAGACCAATCACCTGGTAGACTGCTCAGTCAAGAGGTTTCAGTCAAAGAAAAGATGGTGGGTCTGAGCAACAGGATGGAATTGTGACGCTCACACACTTTGACAGTGCGGGAAAAAGGGGGAAAGTGATTTACAAGGTTCCGCTGACGAGAGCCCTTTTCATCAGCCGTTCCCCATTTATTTCTTCAAAGCAGCTACCGTTGTTTGGAGATTTGCTATCGCCCTGAACACACATCCTGTCTTGCTTTCAGTAGCACAGAATGACTGATGGTCAGAGGGAAAGGATGGCTGTCCTTGGAGAATCTGTACCACCACCAGTTGGGTGAGATTTTTCCAACTGCAAACTTCCCCCCACTGGAAAGAGAACAAAAACCCACTTTGGTTCAGTTGTGGCCAATGCCCACGGTAGGCAGGATCAGGAATCTGCTGACAGGTGAGCCATTGATCCCCATCTCCAGTGTATACCAGCAACAGAGATCCTCAGTATGACCTGAAGTACTGATACTCAGCATGGTGCCTGTAGGTGCCCTGGAACCTGCTGATGTGCTTTTGAAAAGTGTGCTGGGCTAGGTAGGGTTTTTGCTGGGGGTGGGGTGGGCTTCAGGTTGGTTCTTTAGATTTAAAGGCATCCTGATAGGTGGAGCTTCTACTTGAAATGTTGAAGAGGTACTATGTGTGTGTGGGGGGGAGGTATATACACACACCCCTTGTGGTTGGCTCCACTTCCTGCAGCAGCCATTTTGTGATTGGCTCAACCTATTGTTGCAGCCCTTCGGTTGCTGTGCCCACCATCCTGTATGAGAACTCCAGAGGTGCCCACAGGCTCAAAGGTTGGGGACCCCTGCCCCATTATCACTGGAAGCAGGAGTGCTTCAGAAGAAGCCGGAAAGCATCACTTTTGTTTACCACCCACACCTCCATTGGCTTGCGACCCAACCTTCCACCATTTTGATGGCTGCAGTACCTCACAGCAGCCATTTTGTAATAGGCCTTGGGACCACTGCAAGGCAGCCATTTTGTGACAGTGCCAGCTCCTTGTTCTCAAGATCTCAAAAGTACCCACAGACTCCACAAGACAGGGGACCCCGATGTAAAGGCACAGATTTCATAACTTTTGAAGTGCATCCTATGAAGGTTCATATTTTTCTACCTCCGCATTTTTGAAAGTGGAAAAATTCACTGCCACAGGAAGTGGTGGCGGCTTCAAGCATGGACGGCTTCAAAAGGGAATTAGATAAGCATATGGAGCAGAGGTCCATCAGTGGCTATTAGCCACAAGGTATAGATAGGGGCTCTGGGGCAAGTGATGCTCTGTCTTCTTGGTGCTTGGGGGGGGGGTCAACAGCGGGAGGGCTTCTAATGTCCTGGTCCCACTGGTGGACCTCCTGATGGCACCTGGTATTTCTGGCCACTGCGTGACACAGAGTGTTGGACTGGATGGGCCTTTGGCCTGATCCAACATTGGCGTCTCTTATGTTCTTATTTACGTGCTTTTCCTGTCCTCAGGATAGGGGAAAGGTTCTTGTTGATGGCACAGGGGTGCCAGCCAATCAGCACCATGCACAGCCAATTTGCGCTTCAAACTTAACAGGTTTTTAACAGTTTTTAACTGTGCTCAACCCTGTAATATCATGCATGTGTTTGTCTCTCACACACATGCAACCAGCAAATGGGAAAATAGCACCCAAGTGTTCATAGGATATTCAAGGGGGAGATTATACAGGTAAAGGGGGATTTCTCACAGGTCCCTCAGCTTGTCCATTAACAGAAATTATTAGAATAGCAGAGCCTGAGCTGGAACCACTGGTGCAAGGGGTTGCCTGGCAACAAGCCAGGAGAGGGAGGGTGAATTCCAAGAGAGAGAGAAAGTCCAAAGGTGTTTTTTCCTGAAGGAGGTGAGGATTTCTCTCTGCAAGAAGCAGCTCTAGCAGAAACAGCTCATGGAGCAGTGAAAAGGGAAGTGGACAGAAGTACAGGCATCTTCTGACTTGGGCCTTTTGTCCCTCAGTGTTTATAGGCCTTAAAAAGGTAGAATTTTCTATAATCTGTGCGTTAGAACCCAGAGACTAACTTCCTTCATCCTGACTTTAAGGCTACTTGATATATAAGAACGTAAGAGAAGCTATGTTGGATCAGGCCAATGGCCCATCCAGTCCAACACTCTGTCACACAGTGGCCAAAACCCAGGAGCCATCTAGGGATGCCAGCCTCCAGGCACAGAATAATTTGATAAAAGTGTCAGAATGTGTGATGGCAGCAGCTAAAGAGACCAGTTCTATGCTAGAGGTTACTGGGAAAGGGATTCGAAAGAAAAAAGCTGGTACAGTAATGCCTTTGCATAGGTTTCTGGCACAGCTGTGGTTGGCCCATCTGAAAAGGTTATAAGCAATGGAAAGAATGGGTCGGAAGAGGTGATAAAAATAATCAAAGGTCCAAAGCAGCTTCCTTATGAAAAGGGCTTTTAAGTTTAGAGAAGGAAGGGCAGGGAAGACACAATAGATGTTTACTGAATTATACATAGTGGGGAAGAACTAGATGGAACTTTTTCCTTAAGAGAGCCAGTTTGGTGTAGTAATTAAGTGCACGGACTCTAATCTGGGAGAACCGGGTTTTATTCCCCATTCCTCCACTTGCACCTGGCTAGATGACCTTGGGAAAGTTGTAGCTCTGATAAGAGCTGTTCTTGAAAAAGAGCAGTTTCTCTCAGAGCTCTCTCAGCCCCACCGACCTCACAGGGTGTCTGTTGTGGGGAGGGGAAGGGAAAGGAGTTTGTAAGCCGCTCTGAGACACCTTTGGGTAGTGAAGGGCGGGGTATAAATCCAATCTCTTCTTCTTCTTAATAATGCAACAGGGGAGCAAAGGTGACAGGCACTAGACCCAAGCCAGAGTCAAAAGGAAATTCTTAACATAAGTTAACTCAGAACTCACCATCACAAAGTGTGGCAATCACCACTAGTTTTAGGCAGCTTTAAGAAGGGATTAGGCAAATTCCTCAGTCACTGGATGAAGCCTCCATGTTCAGAGACAGTATCACCAGCACTTTTGGCTTCCCACGTAGAGAAATAAGGTACTAGACTAGAGAGACTTCCAGTCTAGTCCAGCTGGATTCACATTATGCATATGAAACTGCTTTGAAAGTGTTTCTTTATGTAACAGAGGCTATATGCCTGAGGATATAGTGATGGCCACAGCAATACACAGCTCTAAAAAGGTAAAAAGGTGATTAGGTAGATTCATAGAAGATAGACCTACCAGTGGCTACTAGCCATAAAGGGACCCTTCCACATTCAGAGGCAGTCAGCCTCTGAATCCCAGTGCCAGGAGGCAACATCAGGGGAAGTCCATGGCCTCTGTGACGTCTTCTGGGCCTTCCAGAGGAACTGGTTGGCCACTATGTGAGACAGAATGCCTAACAACATGGACCACTGGTCTGATCCAGCAGGGCTTTCCTTGTGTACCTTAATGCTGGTCTGCTTTGTGTAACCCTTGCCAGAGGAAATGAGAAAATGGGACAATGTGCATCTTATAGTACTCCTGCCCTGAAAAAGCTGTAGCTTTTAAATCAGACAACTTACAACATTACAATTACAAACTTTATTTAATATTCAGAGACCCATATTTGCACAGCAGCATGCTACAAAACTTGGTTTAAATAAGCTTTGCAAGTGGACAAAAAAACCACCCTGTTGTTCTCAGCAAAGCTTGTTTAACCAACTAGAACTGAAAAGGTCACGGGCTTAAAAAAAATAATTGTTTCTGCTGGGAAGGTTTTACTTGTACTGTCCCTAGGAATGGATTTTGAGCTGGCCCGCCTGCTGTAACCAAAAGAAGGGGTAAAGCTTCTCATCATGGAACGATCCCTCTCTGAACTCAAAAAGCTCTGCCGCTTGGTTGGCATCGGCAAACACCACACCTGCCCCAACGTAGTCCAAGTACACCCTGATTCTCATGGGCCTCAGGCGCGTCCACGGGAAAGCAAAGTTCTGTCGTTCAAAAGCAAAATATCGGTCCCCACACTTCCCGATAGCATAGATACCTTTCTCAGAGTTGAGGACCACCTCACCCTTGCACTTCAAAGACTCCTTGGCCACTCCAATTGCCCAGTTGCCCTCAATCCCTACATCAACCTCCCAATAAAGTTTGCCGGAGTTGAACCCTTCGCAGCCCAGCACGCAAGGACAGAAGTCGAACCTCCGTGGATGGTTGAGAACTGCTCGATCCTCATGAACCCATCTCACTACTTTACAGTCCTCAGACACCTCCAGTTTGGGGTGTGCCGTAACAGGATCTAAAGTCACATTTACTGTGGAAGAAGGGATGGGTGGGAGAAGATAAGTTAGCAGGATTCTGTCCTTGCTGGGAGAAGAACATGCACCTCTTCTGCAGTTGCACATCATCAAAAAATTTCTATACCCTGCCATTTTTAATTGATATTTGTTCATATTTTAGCTGTTAGACCACTCGGCAGCAAAGCGACATATAAATAACTTAAAAAATTAACAACTGGGGTATCCCAACCATTATGTGATTAAACAGGAAATTTGAGCAGGAAATCTCTCCCCTTAGCAGAATGAAGTTCTAGCTATGAAAGACTCCGTGGGCTTCAGCAAAGCCCCCTGTCCTGATAACCTGTGCTTTCCCCTGGCACAAGAAGTATCTCTTTGCCCAAGACCCTAGAGGGCCACTAAAAGGCACAGCAAGACAATACTGACTACAACAAACCAACAGCAGGCATGAGGCAGCATCATACAAATTTACCTTTATCGTAGTGTAGCTGAAATCCAGAGTCAAACAGGACTGCAGGAGTAAGGGGGGAAATCGTAATTAAGCAGATGTCAAAAGAACGCATCACACCACAACTAGTAGCTGGCTTTTTATGTCATCCATTTGCTAGCTATCCCAGTCTGCAGTGAAGTTCAGGAGCAGGAGTAGAGTTACTTCCATATAAGCCAGCCTAGAAATTTGAGATCTGAATAGCCCAGACCAGCCTAAATTCATCAGCTTGGAAATTAAGCAGGGTCAGGCCTAATTAGTTCTTGGATGAGAGACCACCAGAGAAGACCAGTGCTGCTATAGCAAACCAGTACTGCCAGAAAAGGGGAGAAAAAAACACAACCTTGCATGAAAAGGTAACCGAAAAGGCTGGAACAAAGAAAAAAGTACAATATAACTGATGCCCATGGTGCAAATGTACAAAATATCAAAACACTGTATATAATTTAATATATTCAGAAGTCCTAAAATCTCGTTTAAAAACAACCATCCTATTTATTGTTTAGCATATAAGTATCTAATCCCAATATAAAGACAAATCTCCATTTAGAAGAAGAGGAGGAGGAGACTGGATTTATACCCCGCCCTTCACTACCCAAAGGTGTCTCAGAGCGGCTTGCAAACTCCTTCCCCTTCCCCTCCCCACACCCTGTGAGGTAGGTGGGGCTGAGGGAGTTCTGACAGAAACTGCTCTTTTTCAAGAACAGCTCTGACAGAACTCTGGCTTGCCCAAGGTCATCCAGCCAGGTGCAAGTGGAGGAGTGGGGAATCAAACCCGGTTCTCCCAGATTAGAGTCTGCGCACTTAACCACTACACCAAACTGGCTCAACATAAATACAAGTTTAAAAGTACATATGGTCTCCAGCTGATTCTATTTCTAGTTGTACCGGAGCACTCCACTGGAGCTTTGAGTATTCAGATTGGACCTAAGAAGATCCAGGGGCAAAGGGTACATTTTACATCTTGATGAGTTGCCCATGTTACATCACAGGAAAATTTGACAACACTTAAACTCCATGGGTGAACATCTACGTGAATAAGGTCCATTCTGTGTATGATCAATTTTATGTACGTTTTTGTTAAATTAGTGGAGTGCTCAGTTTGAATTGTACCACTGAGGGAGGCCAGGTCCCGAAATATATTTGGTACTGGTTCTTGCATATGGAGACAACATGTACATTTAAACCTTCATTTATGTAAGTGGACATTTGCCTTTATATTGGGATTAGGTATTTATATGCTGAACCATAGGATGGTTGTTTTAAATGATAATTTTAGCACTAAATTATTTATTTAATTGGATTTTTACCCCGCCTTCCCGCAGAGGCGGCTCACGGTGGCTTACAAACAATTAACACAACATACAATTTAAAACCAGCAAATTATTAAATTATACACAATATTTTGTACATTTGCTCTATTTGCATACAATGGCTTACAAACAATTATATACAATATTTTGTACATTTGCTCTATTTGCATACAGTGGCTTACAAACAATTAACATAACATACAATTTAAAACCAGCAAATTATTAAATTATATACAATATTTTGTACAATTGCTCTATTTGCATAATTATATTTTACTTTCTCTGGGTTTGTTCCAACCTTTTTGGTTATCTGGCTATACTAAACCACCTCTGCTCATTTCTTGCCTTGAAAACCCCTTGAGGGACTGCTGTAAGCTGGTTGTGACTTGATGTCACTTTACTCGTAATGCCATGTAAGGAGGCCACCAGGTGCAAACTGGGATGTTAAAATGGCTGGAGTCTCTCCTTCAGTCCCCACTGCTAACGGAGCAGAGGTCCATCAGTGGCTATTAGCCACAAAGTATGGATGGAACACTCTGTCTAGGGCAGGGATGCTCTGTATTCTTTGTGCTTGGGGGGCCACAGCAGGAGGGCTTCTGGAGTTCTGGCCCTGCTGGTGGACCTCCTGATGGCACCTGGACTTTGGCCACTGTGTAACACAGAACTTTAGACTGGATGGGCCATTGGCCTGATTCAGCATGTTAAATGTTGACTTCTGAGCAGGAGTCCAAAATGCAGGATACGGGGGAGAAGAGGCAAGGTCATTCCAACCTTTTTCCACAGCCTCAAACTGTTTCCAACATTTCCCTCAGGGTGACAACAGAGTCTTGCCCATGGAGATATGCGTGTTTCCCCATTCACTAGCCCAGCTGCCATTGGTGGTGGAAAGTGACATCCAGTCACAGCTGACCCTATAGGGTTTTCAAGGCAAGAGATGTTCAGAGGTGGGTCTGCCATTGCCTGCTTCTGTGTAGAGACCCTGGGCTTCCCGGTGGTCTCCCATCCATGTCCTAACCAGGGCCGACCCTGCTTAGCTTCTGAGATCTGATGAGATTGGGCCAGCCTGGGCACCACAAGCTTATTACTCCAGATTTCACGGTGACACCATTTCCAGCACTAATCATACAGGAAAGGCCTCTTTCCTTACCTCGGATATGATTCACAGAAATCTCCATGAAGTTATGAAGATCGTACAGCTCCCAGACTCTCCTTTTCAGCGCAGCGGGGTATGCCACTGTTCTATCAAATCTCTCCCTTGCCCACCTGCAGGAAAACCAATATTTGCTTGTTACCTGTCCCATCTAGAACTCCCTTCTCCTGCCTGTTAAAGGCAGCAGAGGAGGTAGGCTGAACATAAGATGGGCTCACGCAGGGCTTTTTTTGTAGAAAAAGCCCAGCAGGAACTCATTAGCATAATAGGCCACACCCAACAGCAGAAACTCATTAACATATTAGGCTACACCTCCGACAGCACGGCACATTAGCATATTAGGCCACACCCCATGCCTCCCCTTGGTTTGCCTGGGTGCCCCGCAGTTGCGGGGAGCCCGGGCAAGCCGGCCCTTGGACAGGCCAGGGGAGGCAAAGGGAGACATTTAAATGCCTCCCCGATACTTCCAGAGCCCCCCCCTGGCCTGCCCACCTCGGAGTTACCGGGGGGGGGGTGTCGCTCTCCAGGCCTTCCCTCTGTAGCCACGCACTCAGAGATTTTGGCTGTAGTGGGCGTGGCCAACTCTGAAGCCAGCCGGAACTCCGTTCCTGTGCGTTTCTGCCCAAAAATAGCCCTGGGCTCACGCTGACTCAGCCTCACAGTCCACCTAACTCTGTGTCTCCTCCACTTTGACTTCCAGGTCTCAGACAATGTCTTCCCCAACTCCTGCTATGGGAAGATGCCAGGGATTGAACTTGGCAGCTTCACTGAGCCACGCAGCCCATCCACACTGGGGGGGGGGGAGATGAAGAGAAGTACATTGACCTACACACACAGTCCCCCGCTGTGGTGTATTCAATGTGCCAATGTATGTATGTGAACTCCCTGATTGAATCACCATGTGAAGCTTCGTCCTGGGCTAGGATCCAAATCCCTCAACTACTATTGGTAGCCCAGGAAGAGCCGACCAATCACCAACCTCCAGTTCCATGAGAGGGAACAATTGTGATTGGACCTTATCCGTGCAACCTCATAGGTTGTTATTGTAAAACAGGGCGTGGCTATATTAGCCGGGAGAGTTTAAAAGAAGAACCGCTGCAATGCTAAAGCTGTTCCGGCTATTCATGTTGATCTGTTTGGAGTTGAGTTACGGGTTGCTGAATAAAGCTGATCTTTTGCTGAATCACTCCCTGACTCGTTTGTTAAGTAACCGACTTAACACCCGCATTAACAAAAGTCGGCGGCAAAGCTCCTCACTAGGACCCCAAATGCACCCAGAGTAGCAGACCCTTGTCCTACATGGACGATAAAGGAAGCTTCTCCGATTAACTGCACGTGAGGTTGATATCTTCCATCTGACAGAGGGAGCTTTGACTCTCAAAAGCTTGCACCCTAAAATTCTTGTTGGCCTCTTAAGGTGCGGCTGGACTGTGATCTAGATCTACTGTGAAAGGTGGACTGGGGTGTGTGTGTGTGAATCTAACGGTTGCAGCACTAAACACCTTAAGATTGAGGCAGGACCTGAAGAGGATGAGACATGTAGCAGCCAGTAGGATGAAATGATTAAGATTCTCTGACAGCACTTGTTACGGGTAACAAATAATTATTGTATGGCATTGTGTGTAGAATAGCCAGGAGATCTTAGGATGGTCTGGCAGCCAGAAGTTCTTTTAGCATTATGCACCACTAGGTGGCAAGCTAGACTTGTTTTCTGGGGGTGAGAGAGCTCTGAAAGAGCTGTGACTGGCCCAAGGTCATCCAGTTGGCTCCATATCGAGGAGTGGGGAATTGAACCCACTTCTCCAGATTAGAGTCTGCCACCCTTAACCACTACACCACGCTGGCTCTCACTTGTGACAAGTGATACAGTGTGATGATGGTCACAAGGAGAGGGCAGACGCAAGGACCCAGAGACCCAGTGTCTATAGTGAGTTAACTGCCCCCAGTTTCTATGGAGCCCCAATCATAAGATTATATACTGACTGGTGAAGTCCTTACACACCCAAGCAGAGCACTAGTTCCCTGTGTTCTGTGGTAGCCAGAAATCCTATTACTGGGGGAGAAACAACCCCTACAACAAGAGGGCAGCAGGAAATCAGACTTCACAGACAGAAGTCCTTGTGCCTCTGGAATCAGTATTCTAGCTCCAAGGCAGTCTTGCATTTGCAAAAAAAAAAGAAAGAAAGAAAGTGCTGCTCTTATCAACCTAGCAACAGCCTCAAAGATCTTCCTTCACAAAGGAAAAAAGGATCTCTGTGCCAAAATAGAGCTCTCCAAGTCCTCCACTCCCAGCTCGGGAGGATGTTCTTTGAATACCACTTTAAAAAAATTGTGCCTTTGAAAAACTTTGAATTGAGATGCTTCGGGGTATTTCCTTATATCAGTTAAATTTAAGATTTGGGGAAAATTAACAGAATATGTGACTCAGTTTGTAATGAGATTAGTATGATTAAGACTAGATGCTTATTTAAGCTGATTAGATCTCCTCTCTTGGGTTTTTAGTCAGTAGTGGGTATCTTTTCTTTATCCCTTAGATGTAGTCCCCTCCCTTATTTCTGTGATAGTTTGTAGTTTTAATAAAAATGCAATAAAAAATACCCATTGGGGAGCAAAAAAAAAAAGAAAAGACTTCCTGACTAGGACCAAGCACAAAGGTTAAAAAACCAACAGAATCCACTTACCTCTGCAACTTCCTTCCAGCGTTCTAAAAGGGAACAGGAGATAGGAGATGGCTTAAGAGTCACTGAAGACTGAACATCCCCCCCCCCCTTGACAATTTGTTTCAATAGAACTTTTTTTGGTACAGCAGCAACATTTAATGCTCAGGATACCGATTTTGCTTTTTAATTCTTTTTAAATACAAGGGTTTGCAAACACTACAGAGCTGAGCCTGCAGAAACTAAAAACAAGCTGGGGCAGGGGGGAGGAGCTGCTAGGAATTGCACGGATGGAGGACACACACAATTTGGGAATTCCCTTCTGCGCTATCACAGCCAGCCATCACCCTCTCCTTGTCCTCCACTGCTCTCATGGTTCCACACCTCCTAGAGCACGCTCAGTCCTCACCAGGACAAATTCAGTTAATTTCCACCCCCATTTTTTTTTTACATACTTGGGAGTCCCCTGCACAAAACCCTGTGTTGTCTGTGGGGGGTCCCATTGTGCCATGACTGACTGATCCCTAGCATGTCATGCTCCCTCTAAGCTACGGAGTCCTGTGAGCAAAAATTCTACTTTGTGAGCTACTGGCACTCAAGTTGTGAGCAGGTGATTTGGCTACTGCATAAGTTAGTTTGCCCTGGAGCCATCCTGCCTGAGCGAAGTCAAAAATGTGTGAGCTGGGGGCTAAAAATCTGTGAGCTGGCTCACACTAACTCAGTTTAGAGGGAACACTGGCTCACCACTAGGATACTTACATACCTCCTCTCTATGTATATGCAAACTTATAAAGGAAGGCCCCCTTCAAAGGCACAAACAGTTCTGGGGCAGGGGGCACCGTTTCCCAGAGGACAGCCCGAGCCATTTCTCCCTCTCTTTTACCTCCAGGAGTTCGACTTCTGGCAGCCGACACATCTCCGCCATGTTCTCAAGGATGTGCGTGAAAGAAGAGATCTTCTCCGCTGCTAGGCTCATGTTCTCCTCCATTGTCCTCCCAATCTCTTTTTCCACTTTGCTCATCTCGTCACCCACAAGGAGTTCCGCGTCCGTCAGAAATTCCCGCAGTATTATGAAAGCGGTCGTTATTTTCTCCTTCCCCTCCGACATTTTCAACTACAAGAGGACCGACGGGAAAGAGGAGAAGCAGGTGGTCAAATTCCGGAATTGCCAATAAGCCGTGGGTAAGTGACGTTTCGAAAAGATCTGAAGGGAGGAAGCGTGGGAGATGCAGTATCGGAGCAGGGTTGGCAACTCTGGCCTAGGAAATTCCTGGAGATATGGGGGGGGAGGTGTCTGTGGAGGGAGGAATCTGGGGAGGCATTTCACCTAAAATCTATGGTCTACCATGGAGTCCACCCTATGAAGCTGCCATTTCCTCCCAGAAAACTCCTGGGGGTCAGCAACCCTAACATGGAATCTCTGGCAGGTTCTCAGCCAGAGGCTCCCAGGGGTGTGGCCCTCTCAAAAGGCAGGTGAAACACACAATCCTGAAGGAAGACGAGAGTTAACAAGAGTGGAAGGAGAGTGAGTTGTCCGCTTTAAGTCAGGAATCTAGCCAGCAAGCCAGCCCGCAGTGCAGGCTAGCGAGTGGATACCAGCAGCTCCCTGAAGGGACCATATGTAGGCTAACGGGCTGAAGCAAAACCTGTCAAAATCAGGTGAGGGTGGAAGGACGGCTGTGCCCCAGCAATTAGTAGAGCCCTGCTCTGCTACTCCATGGGCACAGATTGGGCCAACACTAACTCTGGGAACCTTCAGCCGAAGGGAAAAAAGAGATTTCCAATATGAAGGCATACACTGCCATGCAAGAGAAGAGGATCCGTCCACGCTCCATCAGGCCTTTAAAGATTCATGCTCCTGCCACGCAACAATGTGCACACATATACAGAGAAGAGGATTCATTCAAGCTCCACCAGGGCTTTAAGGATTCACACTCTGGTCTCCCCCCTCCCCCATGTGCCCTTCCCGCACAAAATGAGTGATATAGTCTCAAAGGCTCCCATGATCACACAGTGGCCCCTGAAGACACCTCCCATTTCCAGGAGGAGAAATGTTCAAGAAGACAGCCGAGTACAACTCTCCTGCTCCTTCAGACTTTGTTCGTTTGGTGTTCTTGGGCCTCAGGCGGCTGTCCAACCAGAACAGCCTCTCAAAACAGGCCCTGGCAAGGAGGAAGGGAAGCTAAGCTTGGTCTGCCACACAGGAGGCAAAACAAAGAGCCCGGCGGGACCACAAAACAAACTGAGCAGAAACTTTTGACCGTCAGAAGCTACTTTGTCAGATACCCAAAAGTGAACAGATCTCTCATTCTCTCATGCACAAAACGAGGCCAGAAGAACAAGTTAAACCCAAATATAGGCAACATTGCATAGGTACAGCATTTGTTAAATCAAGATCCAATAATAATTTTAAAAAGAATCAAGGACTGGGTGTGGACTATTCCCAACAGACAATGAGATGGGAAAGCTAGAAGAATGTGAGAGCCTTGAAAAGGGCGACTTACACCCTGACCCGGACGGCCCAGGCCAACCCAATCTCATCAGATCTCGGAAGCTAAGCAGGGCCGACCCTGGCAAGTACTTGGATGGGAGACCTCCAAGCAGGGGTCGTTTCGTAGAAAAAGAGCTAGGGGAACTCATTAGCATAACTCATTAGCATATGCCACACCCCCTGACATCACCGGAAGTGTGTCATAAGGCCACACCCCCTGACATCACCGGAAATGTGTCATAAGGCCACACACCCCGCCCCCAACGGTCCCAGCCGCCACCGCCGGCCTTGCAGCTCCACTGCCGAGCCCCATGAGGGGCCCGGCGGTGGACCTGCAAGGCCGGCGGGAGTGCAAGGAAGCCCCGCAAAGGCCCTCCCTGGCCCCAGGCAGGCAGGCAGGGGTGGGGAGAGGCAGGGAGGAAGCAACTTACCCTCCCTCTTCTCCTGCCTCCTCCTGGCTGAATGAGGGCCGGAAGCGGGGCGGCCGGAAGCAGGGGGCGGGGCTTCGTCATGTGCCCTGCCCCCCGTACCTCACCCAGGGGAACTGCGTTCCCCCCCGAAATGACCTCTGCCTCCAAGGAATACCAGGGCTGGACTGCAGAGGCAGGCAATAGTAAGCCACCTCTCTGAAACATTCAAGCCCCAGTAGGGGTCACCAGAAGTCACCATGACTTCCAGGAATACATGTAAAAAAAAATACTAACCAAAAAGAAAAGGGAGAGTTATGTCTGAGAGCAAGCCAGCTACTCCCGTGAGACCAAATGCAGACTGGTTTTCAGGTGTCATGACACCTGTTGTTTGGGTGTCAGGTGCACAAAATAGACTACAACACAGCCACCTTTTCTGGAGATTCTCACAAGGGCCATTGGGCTTGTCTTACTGCAGCCCTTTAAGGATCAACAATGGAAGTGCCTAACAAGTCAATGGAGATTCGCCCCCAAAGGCAGCTGACTCAAGATTTCCAGATGCTCCAAAAATTGGAAAGATCAATTTTTAGCATGCTAGTCCTCCCACTAGCTGCCTCCCAGTTGTACCTGTGTACATACCCTTAACTGAAGGTGTTCTTCCTCAGTGGAATTCTTATAGTCTGTAGCGTTGTCTCTCTGCTGTCTCACATGATCCAGGCAATTAAAAATTAGTCCCTAATGAAAATGCACAATCAGAAGCTTGGCAGTTTTCATTAAACATCAGAGCAGTCACTGTCAAAATCCCTGCTGCCACCATCTTTTGGAGTGCGGGGTGGGGAGAAGCCGTGATATCCCAATATTGCAAGGTCACCTCTCCTACTTAACTGTATCCAAGCAGATGAAAATGTTATCAGTGCCAGATGTGACATCTGATCCACGCTAGTTCAACAGATCCTTATTAACTAAAATGTACAGATCTGCCTTCTTGCAAAGATTGAGGACAAGTACCTCCTCCCTCCCCAAATTAGCTGACCGATTATTAACAGTTCTTAAAATCAAGAGTGTTTCCCCACACACACACTTTTTTGCTTAGTACCCAGCTTAGTTTATCAAAAGCATTCCCACTTTGTGACTTTTTAAGTCTGTCTTAATGAAGATCTTAGACCAGGGGATTCTCAAAAAAATGTTACTTTGGCAACAGCCACCAGCATAGCAGAAGGATCTTGACTGCATGGCTGAAGGTCAGCTATGGCAGCCATTTTGTGGCTGGCTTCACCTCCTGTGGCAGCCATTTTGTGGCTGCATCCACCACTTTGTGTCCAAATTCCAAAGGTGACTTCAGGTTCAAAAAGGTTGGGGACCCCTGTACTAGGCTACCTTTGCTGTTGGGTTCTCCCTGTACACACACACACACCAACACAAAGCGATTTCACTACTTCTCAAGGGGCAGGTTCCTACCTTCAGCTCAAGGGCGGCATCCTCCACAGGAATCGTGTCATGGCCCTCATGTCCTTCTGATTTGTCACACACTGGACAGATGCGGACTTGATCGTTTTTGCAGAAATATTTCAGGGGCTCCTGGTGTGTCTCGCACAGCTGCTTCCCCCCTAGTTCCCAATCTCTGTGGCGGCTCATCTGCTTCGATATTTCCACAAACCTGACCATGTCCCTGTTTGGCGTGAAATTCTGCGGCTGAATCGGCGCTCTGCACTGGGGGCAGGTGGCTTGCGAGGTAGCCTCAGTAACACACCGGTAAATGCAGACGCGGCAGAAGTGGTGTCCACAGTCAACCGTATATGGGTCTGTGAAGTAGTCCAGGCAGATGGAGCAAGTCACTTCCCGCTGAAGGCTCATTTTGGGACACTCGTCAGCCATTTTCAGTCAACACAAAGCAATCGTGCACCCTTTTGCAGGCTGAAAGACCAAGTCTTGGCCTCAATAAAACTGGCAGAAAGGCGGGTGGGATAGTTGGAGGCCAAGATGGAAGATGAACGGGGTAGGGTTACCACCTTCCCTGGAAGCAAAGTGAAAAAGGCATTTCAAAAAGGATTCTCCATTAAGGAAGGCCTAAACAGGCTTACCAAATGTATGCACTTACACACCCAATAAGCAAAATAATTAAAACCAATAAATACGAATAAGGATGAGAAAAGCATCGGACAACTTCAGCAGGCCATTGAAAGGGCCTGATTAAATTACCTTGGTAACGGCAATTCAAAAATTAAATTATACCCCAGCTATACAATTAGCAGAACCCTTGGGCAAACTGCCACATGATTCTCCTGGCACTTAAGACTTCTCTAGTTCAGTTTCAGACAGCCCTTTGGTTTCTCCACAGTTTGTTTTTTTAATGAATGAGAGAGCCACGTCAATGCAGAGAAAAGTGGGGGGGGGGACACAGAATACACACAAGGTGTGGTGCCCGATCAGTCAAAGTATTAGAAAAATTTCTTGGCAAGCTTTGAAGAAGGCAGACTTCTTCCCACAGGGGTACTAGAAGAGAAAACTCTATATATCCATACATTTTGAATGCCTAATGTGCATGAACTGGCAGCCCGGGGCGTTCCTTAAAGACTGGCGGGACGTGCTCCAAGCACAGGTCTCCATCAGTAGTCACATTTCGGGCCAACTGATGCTTCCTGACAGCTTTTAAAGGCAGAACACATTACAGTAGCCAAACCGGGATGTGATCAGAGCACACTTCTTGAGGTCAATGTCACAGCTAAGGTACAGACTGAAGACAATGCTTCAGAAGGTGCTACCTCCTACTGAAGAGACCTGGACCTCTGTCTGTCGGTACAGATCACATCCAACTGCGTGTCCAAGGTACAACCCTGGGAGCCCAAAGCGGTCTCTTCCGACTAGCAGCATCTGGAGGTTGAATTCAGGAATCCCTGCATGCAAAGCTGTGGCCCAAAATCTCAGCCTATCCTCCATCAGACCTTCAAGCAGAAGATGGTACCTCTACTTCGCCACCTTCTGCTCAAAGGTAATACCTGCCTAGAAGCTCAGGCAAGAAAAGAAGAAGAAGAAGAAGAGAAGAGATTGGATTTATACCCCGCCCTTCACTTGGAGTCTCAGAGCTGCTTACAAACTCCTTTCCCTTCCCCTCCCCACAACAGACACCCTGTGAGGTGGGTGGGGCTGAGAGAACTCTGACACAAACTGCTCTTTCAGGAACAGCTGTGCCAGAGCTTGTGACTGACCCAAGGTCACATCAGCAGGTACAAGTGGAGGAGTGGGGAATCAGACCCGGTTCTCCCAGATTAGAGTCCATCCACTTAAGCACTACACCAAACTGGCTCTCTTTCCATCATTTGCTTCTAGAGATCCTTTAAATGGAGACATAGAGGACTGAACCAGGGCTCTGCCAACTGAGCCACAGCTCCTCTTGTGAATGCTACACGCAAATGTAACTGCATTCCCTGTGTACTTGGACTCTCTCCCTCCATCTTCCTAATGGCTAAACTCTGGACAATGAGCTCCCCAGAGGAAGAGACTCGTGGTGGTTGCTTTGCAAAGCATCATGTGCCCAGATATTTAGGAATATCCTCTAATGAGAGACAAGAGAAATAAGGTTCTTGTCTATGCACAGAGTGCGTAAGTCTCAGTACTACACTGCCAGTTCCAGGGATGTGACCTCCCCCCTCCAAGAGAAGCAAGAAAGGTCCCAAGCCATCCCAAGACACACACACCCCACTTCTGGGACAATGGCCTTGGGGGGCTGTGAAAGGGCAATAGAAGAATTTAGGAACATAGAATTATTGTGGCAAGGAGCTTTGGAGATAAGAGCCCGATTAATCAGGTATATGAAATGATACCTGCTGGCAAATTATACCAATCCCACATATGTTTGCAGGACACACAACCCAGCCTTACCAACCTAAGTGAAGAAGAGATTGGATTTATACCCCACCCTTCACTCAAGAGTGGCTTACAATCTCCTGTCTCTTCCCCTCCCCACAACAGACACCCTGTGAGGTAGGTGGGGCTGAGAGAGCTCTTTCGAGAACTGCTCGTGAGAGAACAGCTCTGCCAGAACTGTGGCTGACCCAAGGTCACCCAGCAGCTGCATGTGGAGGACTGGGGAATCAAACCCGGTTCTCCCAGATTAGAGTCCACACACATAACCACTACACCAGACTGGCTCTCAACCAAGCCCAACCAAGGCATTTTCTAAAATATCCCCACACACACACATCCGCACCCAAATCCACCATCTTGTAGTCTGCTCATGCCGCAGTGGTCAGAGTGTCAGACAAGAATCCCAGAAACTCAGTTTCAAATCCCCACTCTGCCATGGAAGCTTGCTGGGTGACCATGGGCCAGTCTCATGCTCTCCGGCTAACCTACCCCACAGGGTTGTTGTGGGAATAAATGGAAGAGAGGAGAAGGACATAAGCTGCTTTGGGTCCCCATTTGGGGGGGGGGATCAGAGTATAAATGAAGTAAACAGGTACAAATAAAGTGAGGATATACATATCATCAAATAGGATAGAGATATGCACTTCGGGATATTCCCTTTTGCTTACAAACCAGGAATAGGGTACTTGTGCAGATTCGTGCTTTTAGGTTCACATAGAAAGGGGTGTGTTCAAAACAACATCCATTTATTAGCAAAAAATACAGGGTTACCATCCTCTAGGTGGGGGCTAGAGATCTATCAGAGTTACAACCAATGTTCCCTCCCAGCCGTGGAGTCCTGTGAGCAAAAATTCTACTTTGTGAGCTACTGGCATTAAAGTTGTGAGCAAGTGATTCAGCTGCTGCATCAATTAGTTTGCTCTGGAGCCCTCCTTCCTGAGCGAAGACAGAAATGTGTGCGCCAGAGGCTAAAAAACTGTGAGCTAGCTCACACTAACTCAGCTTAGAGGGAACACTGGTTACAACTGCCCTCCAGGCTAGAAAACAGCTCCTTCGAGAAGTAGTTTGTATGGCATTATAGCCTATCAAGGTTCTTCCTCTCCTTAGACCCCACCCTCACGTCTCCAGGTAGTTCTAAACCCAGAGATGGCAACCCTAGGTGGGAGCAACTGGTTTCAGGACAAGAGAGGTAACGCAACCTGCAATTCTAATTCACAAACAGAACTAACTGAGCAGAGACTCCGCCTTGTAAACCTGAACCAACATATAAATTCAGGTGGGTAGCCATATTGGTCTGAAGCAGCAGAAAGAAGTTGGGAGTCCAGCAGCACCTTTAAGACAAACAAAGTTTAAATCAAGGTGTAAGCTTGCATGCGTATGCACCCCTCCCCACCCTCCACCTGTATAGTTGGTGACTTCTGGTTCGATGTACCTGAAGAAGTGTGCATGCACACAAAAGCTTATACCCAGAATAAGACTTCTGTTGGTCTTTAAAAAGTGCCACTGGACTCAAACTTTTTACCAATATCAGAGGGGGAAAGAGACTGTTCCATTTAATACATCACACACATAGCTATAAAGAAAAAAGAGCCTACACACATAATTTTTATGATGTACATAGCCTTTACTATACAATACTTACACATACACTTCACAAGCAGTGTTCCCTCTAAGCTGAGTTAGTGTGAGCTAGCTCAGTTTTTTAGCCTCCAGCTCAGGAAGGACGGCTCCAGAACAAACTAACTTATGCGGTAGCCAAATCGCTTGCTCACAACTTTAATGCCAGTACCTCACAAAGTAGAATTTTTGCTCACAAGACTCCACAGCTTAGAGAGAGCATTGTTCACAAGCCCAGCAACCATTCACAAGAGCCTCACTTAGCACTTAACTCCTATTCACCCTGGGAAAAGGAAACCTTTGTTTCGATTGAGTCCCTAACCAATAGACCCAAACTCGCTTATTGGTGCAAGGAAAGTAAGAGGTTTTAAAGTCTACCGCTGGGTAATGATGCAACATACTCACCGTAGCCGCTCTAGTTAGCTAAGCAAGCAATTCACACACGTCCTACAAACGGGGCCAATAAAACAGTAGTTTGTAGCAGATGCCAAGTAACCGCACCAGAGAAAAGGAACAGAAGATACAAACAGGCGCAGCTACTCAGACCAAAAGCCCCGCTGAAAAGAGAGAAGACTGAATTCCCCCCCAATCCCTTCTACCTAATAGAAACCAGCCGGCTCAGCGTCTGTCTTATACCTGTGGCTTCTGCAAGCCCTGCCGAATGGGCTCTTGGGAATTGTAGTCTTTCCCCATTCACATTCCCTCCACCCACCACGCAAGAGGATGCTCGAGTCCACAGGTGCGGCCTTTTAGCGCTCCTGATTGGCCCGAAGGGCGAAGGACCCCAGGATCGCATGCAAACGAACGTTCTGCTGCCACTTACGCACCGAACCGAGTTTGACGGCTAACTCCTTTGTTTGGATGCCGGGGGTCTTGGGTTATTTATTTGTAACACTGTTTTTGTTTCTGGATCGCGATGGGCTGGAACATAATGGGCACGTCCAGGATTTGAAGTCGAAGTGGGATTAGGCAGGTTGCAACCGAACCGTTAGTATGCCATCGCATTTAGTCAAAGATGATACCATCACTAGCACTTTAATTATTGGAGTGTTTTAATGTTTACTGTCAATGCTTATATCTAAATGTTTAATCTTTGTGTATGGTTTTACGGTACTGGGTACCGACTAATTTTAGCCACCCTGAGCCCGCTCGCGGGGAGGGCGGGGTATAAATCGAAATAATAAATAAATATCTCTCCCTCTCCTAGTAAAAGTTTATGGCAGGCAGGTGTAAATGCTCTTAATGTGGTTTGTATTGATTTGACCAGCAGCGTTTGGCACCCCTTTCAAGAAACAGTCAAAGCAAAGGCGGGAGTTCGACTTCTTTGAAGCTCCAATGTTTTTTCATGGGTATGGGTGTGTATTTAATTCGGTCCCCCCTGCCTACTGCTGGAAGCAGACAATAACCCTGCAGTGTAGCCCAGTCTTATTAGCCCTGCATTGGGGGGGGGGGGATCATGCTGGCATTTGATGCTGAGAAGATTAGGAGGACCTGTAACGCACTCCATTGCTACTGCTAGGCTTGCCAATCTCCAGATGGGGCCTGGAGTTTTCTAGAATTCCAACTGATCGCCATGCCATAAAGATCAGTTCCCAAGAGGAACTGGCAGCTTTGGACAGCAGACTATTATGGTACCACAACACCACTGAACTCCCTCCCCTTCCCAACTAAAATAAAGGTAAAGGTTTCCCTTGCTCGAAAGCTAGATGAATCCGACTCTAGGGGCGGTGCTCATTTCAGTTTCCAAGCCGAAGAGCCAGCGCTGTCCAAATACTTCTCTGTGGTCATGTGGTCGGCATGACTAGACGCCGAGGCACGCGGAACTCTGTTACCTTCCCACCGAAGTGGTACCTATTTATCTACTTGCAGTTTCTTGCTTTCAAACTGCTAGGGTGGCAGGAGCTGGGACCAGAGACGGGAGCTCACTCACCCCTTCCCAGCTACTGCCTCCCAAATCTCCAGGAATTTCCCAAGCTGGAGTTGGCAACCTGAGATAACAGCCTATCAAACACTGTGGCTACCTTTTTGTGTAACAGCGGTTAAAAGTGCTGCAGTGGAAGCTGTAATCCTCTTCTCCTTCAATGGTATGTATAAATCTGGCCTATATAGTTCATACACAGTTCTGGAAGATAGTGGACATTTATTGACTCTGGCCTTGATTTGTCAGTAACCCTGCAATAAGGTAATGAGGATTTGTGTGTTGTCCAGGCCCTATGTTTTCTACGCGAGACAATTGTTTAACTTCTGCAGGAAACCACATTTGTAAACCTCAAAGAGGAAACTGAAGATCCTCCGGTGCCTTATAAGCAGCTTTAAGATGATGTGACCCACCCTGCACCCGCTCACGGAATGGGCAGGATACAAATACGAAAAAATAAACTGTCAAACCCAACCACCAGATCTTAATTCATATCTCTGCTCTGTGTTCCTGGGGTAGACTTCTCTGCTCCAACACGTCACAGCCTTGTTTCTTTAAAATGTAAACCATCTTGTCCCTGTGTAAGGGGATACGATCACTCCCACATCCAATTAGAGTCTGGACCAAACCATTTTAAAAGGACTTTGCCTATTCAAATCAATTAGTGGCAGCGTTCTGCAGGATTTATCTATTAAAGGCTGTTTATCAACCGTTTAAATCTGATAATACAAACAAGTAAGGAGTGAGTTAGGACTTTGAAGTGTAACTGGCAAATCAGATCAAAAACTAGCAGAGACTCTGTATCTATTATTGAAAAACGAAATAGTTTTCTTTATTATGAAGCCCAGTAAGAAGTACAGACGTGAAAATTAAGTGCTAAAATTATCAAAGTTCCTAACATTGCTTAATCATATTTTAGTTATATTTAAAAGCAAACCAGGTTTCAGGTTTTTGTCTCATTGATTTTAGGGCTTATCAACAAGCCCAAATCAAACATACCCAGAAATCTAATCTCATTTTCTGAGATTTCCATTCAGAGAAATCTGATTTGCTTCTCACAGTAGTAGTGCATATTTACAGAAAAATATCAGTCCCATCTTTTCCTAAACCTCTTCTACCATAATCATGTGATTACTACCTAGATAAGTAATTCTTAACTAAATATGAGATAATTAGTCAAGTGCAAATGAGCTGATCAGCAGGTGCATACGAGTTGCGTCTGATAAAGCAAGATCAGAAGGCCAATCTTAATTCCTAACTGCTATGAAAAAGCAATTAATCTAGTTTTTCTGTAACTGTTTCAATTAACCGTGGATGATTAAAATAACTTTAAGCCTGCAGAGTACACTGATGGCTGAGGAGTACGTGAACTCTTGGTTAACATACAATATCAGCAAGAAAAAGGAAGTAACCATTGATTGCAATACCTGTATAGTTTTACCTTACCTCCCCTTAGTTTGGATAGGTTTGTACCCCACGCCCAGATTCTATCGTCTCAAAACTTTCTTAATTTCCACTGGGATCATGATGTAGTGGGAAAAACCCTTTGGGGTAGTAGCTAGCCCCAGGAAATCCATCCCTAGGCCCTTTTGTTGCTCTCTGTAGGAAGATCCAGTGTAATGTAGTGGTTAAAGTAGCAGACTACGATCTGGGAGACCCAGGTTCAAATCCCCACTCTGCATGGAAGCTTGCTGGGTGACCTTGGATCAGTCACATACTCTCAGCCTAACCTACCTCACAGGGCTGTGATGAAGATAAAATGAAGGAGAGCAGAATGGTGTAAGCCACTTTGGGTTCCCACTGGGGAGAAAGGCAGGGTATAAATGAAGTGAACAAATCACTCAAGGCATGGGTCGGTAAAGGACAGTTCCCAGGGATAAAAAGAACAAAGTCCGAAAGGGCTTGACAGAATTCAAAAAGGCACCCCACATTGCCATCTAAGGGTGCGATCCGTGTATACACCCCAAAGTTTAAAATGTATAAGGCTAACATTTAAAATGCATTCATTAACTTTTTGATACTTTGTTATTTATGAATGGCCAGTGTCTGATTTGATTACTTTATATATTATGCATTTCATATGCAAAATATTGTTTTATTGTTGTAAAAATCCGCTCTGAGCCTTTGAAGAAGAAAAAGAAGAGATTGGATTTATGCCCCGCCCTTCACTACCCAAAGGTGTCTCAGAGCGGCTTACAAACTCCTTTCCCTTACCCTCCCCACAACAGACACCCTGTGAGGTAGGTGGGGCTGAGAGAGCTCTGACAGAAACTGCTCTTTTCCAAGAACAGCTCTTATCAGAACTAGGGCTTGCCCAAGGTCATCCAGCCAGGTGCAAGTGGAGGAGTGGGGAATCAAACCCGGTTCTCCCAGATTAGAGTCCATGCACTTAACCACTACACCAAACTGGCTCTTTGGGAAAGGGTGGGATAGAAATTAACAAATAAAGAATAATAAATAACTACTCTATGCCCAGTTTTGTTACCCAACTATACACACACGAGTAGGAGACACAGCTATTTAATAGTTAATATACGAACAGCAACCTTTTAAATCGCCAGACTAACTCTGAGCATGTAGGGCTGTCTCTCCCCACCACTGTTGAACCTTAGCCAGAGGGCTTCCCCCTCTGCTTCCTTGCTCTCTTCTCAACATAAGGCACAGTAGTTCCAGTGAGCCAGTGAGTTTGCCAAAGCACATGCAGAAGAGCAAGCTGGCTGTGGAGAAAGGGGAGTAAAATCACCAACACCTGGTGGCCAAGTGAATCTTTCCCCAGGTAGCTAAGCTGTTGGTGGTGGTTTGAGTCCCTCTTCCCTGAAGCCAGCTTGCTCGCCTCCTGACAGCTGTCTGAGTTCTGGGATGAAGGGCAGCAGAGACAGGCCCTTTACGTCCTTGGCCCACAATTCAGGGAGGCTCACAGCCTTCCCATCTTCAGTCCCGCCAAACGTTTCAAGGTGGGACTGCACTGGAGAACGGAGCTCAGAGGCACTACCGATGGCTCCCAAGCCACTGCCTCGGCCCCCTCTTGTGGGTTTTTTGATCTGCAGGGGGGAGTATACTTGGCTATTACCAGGGCTTTTATTGTAGAAAAAGTCCAGCAGGAACTTATTAGCATAATAGGCCACACCCAGAAGCAGAAACCCCATTAGCCTATTAGGCCACACCCCTGACTGCACCGCTCATTAGCACATTAGGCCACACCCCCATGTTACCAGAAGTGTGGTCATCCAGCCACACCCACGTTTTGCTTCTTATTCTGTTTACCATGTTTGTGGTCAAAACCCAGGGCTTTTTTTGTAGCAGGAACTCCTTTGCATGTTAGGCCACACACCCCTAATGTAGCCAGTCCTAATGAGTTCCTGCTGTTGGGTGTGCCCTTTTATGCTAATGAGTTCCTGCTGGGTGTGGCCAACTTGGGAGCCAGCCGGAACTCCGTTCCTGTGCGTTCCTGCCCATAAGTGAATATGCATATTAATGCTATATAGGAAATGCATGTGTGACTGTGCTTTTAATACAGGTTCCCCCCCCATCGCCCCCCCCCCCGCCAATTTGATGTTGAAAGCTGCTTTGAACACAGTCTGCAAAAAGAGACAACATATCCATTTATGAAAACAAACTAAACACACACCAGAAGACATTTTTAGCTGTTTTACAGATTATTATTTTTTTACTTTTTGTTGCATTGATTTTTCAGACCGAAAAAAACATAACACAAAATCGGATGAGAAAATCGGAAGATTTAACTGGTAGGTCGAGAGAAGAAGATAGGAGAAATCAAAGCAGGTAAGCGACTGTGACAGGTCCCTTGGTGGTGGGGGCACTGTAACCCTAGTCTGCAGGATAAAATGGGAGTGTTAATTATACAGAGCTCCAAGAAACAAATATTTGGGGGGGGGGGGCTCTCCTGCTTCATCCTAATAGCCACATAGTAAGGTAGGCTAGACTAAGTGCACGCAGCTGGCCCAAGTGAGTTCTAGGGGTGAGTGGAATGTTACAACCTGTTCCAACCACATTGGCACTTTTAACTTTAAAAACTGGAAAACAATATTGCTTTGGAAGATAAGCAAGCCACCCGGCAGCCCCTCGTCCTCCGACGGCCTCCGACACTTGTTTTCTGCTCCACTTGGAATAAAGAGATTATTCTCCTTCCCTTCAAATAGCGATCGGGTGTTTTTCAGCGTTGGGAAACCTCGTGCCGTATTTCCAGCCCTTCTGCAGATTTCCTGCCTTTCAGGACGTCTTGCATCCCAGAACTGCAACATTCCGCAACCTAATCTCCACTGGAGTCTCAAGTGAGGAAACGCCCATCACCTCCAGGATCCTGAGAAGGAAGGAAGGTTAAATGAGAAGAAATCTGGATTCCATCCCAAACTCACATCTGTATAGTCAATAATAATTGCAGTACCAGACCAGACCCATCCAGCTATGTGAGAGAGGCTACTCTAATGGACATCTTGCACTGCTTGGCCTCTGGCCATCCAATTATCAAAGATAGGCTGCCTCTGAACATGGAGGTTTCATGGGAGGAACAAATTGCTTGGACTGCAGAATCTCTGGATTGCAAGCTGGCATGTCCTATTAAAAGTTACACAGTGGAGGGAAGGGACTGAGGAGGAAGGAACTTCTCCTGCCCTGTATCTCTGTCATCTCCTTGCTGGCCCTCTCCCTTAACCACTGCAGCAATCAAGGCACTTCCAAAGGGACAGGAGAAGCTGAATTGTCCCCTGTGGCTTTATTAGCTTTTAATGTGGGAGCAGCAGCAAGTCCCGTTTGCATCAGGGCTAGTAAAAGATGGACTTTTCCTCCTCCGGTGTAGCTAACTGGTTTTGAGTAGTAACAGGATCCAGACGTTAATGAGGCATTAAGTGAAATCTTTGATGCCTACAATGGCTAAAACTTCTAACAAAGGGCTAACAAAGCCATTAAGAAACACCCATTAAAACACAGACCTAGGCCAATAAAACAGGCCAGGGCACAACAACAACAACATAAAATACACACAGAGCAGCAAAAAAAAAAAAAATCAATAAAATATGCCCTGGCCAAAGGCAGACCATACAATATCGTGAGCCAGTTTGGTGTAGTGGTTAAGTGCACGGACTCTAATCTGGGAGAACAGGGTTTGATTCCCCACTCCTCCACTTGCACCTGCTGGATGACCTTGGGCAAGCCGTAGTTCTGAAAAGAGCTACTCTCAGCCCCACCTACCTCACAGGGTGTCTGTTGTGGGGAGGGAAAGGAGATTGTAAGTAACTCTGAGACTCCGAGTGAAGGGCGGGGTATAAATACAATCTCTTCTTCTTCTTCTTCTTAAAAGATAAAACCTCTCAGTTAAGAGTCTGGGTAAAAAGGGATGTTTTAGCCCGGTGACTAAGAGAAAGCCAGGTAGGCGTCTGGAGAAGCTCAGGTCGGGAGGGCATTTCAAATGTGAGGCACTGTCCCTCAAAACTTCTCATCCCTGGTCACTGTTTGCCTCACCGTTGAAAGCAGGGCCGCAGAGGGCAGAGCTTCAGAAATGGATACTGACTGGCAGGCTGGACAATTGAATTCTGAACCCTTTAGAAATCTCATGTGTGATTAGCTGTCAAAGTCTACATACCACTGCATGTCAGTTATCAAATTCTAAACACTACTAGCAGATAGTGTATGTAAAATCTTCAAGATTTAGTATCAACCAGAGAATGTCAAAGTTCAGATTTCATATATTAAAATGTTCAGAAAATATTTGACAACAGCACTTGCAGGAGGTAGGATTTTGAGAATTGGGGACAGGAGAGCTGTGAGGCAAAGCAATCTTGATCCCTCTCAAGGAGTTAATAGTAAGGGGGCTATTCCATCTTGCAGGTGTTACTAATTGGGTCTCTCGCCTACATAGTTCTCATCATCTTCAGGGCCGGAGCCAGGAGCCTGGTAATTAACTTTCCATGAGAACCTGAGGTCACATGGGAGGGGGAGAATCAGGAGTGGTGAGGTAATTTTCTAGAGGTTTCCACTAAGAACTAACCTGATTGGGTATCATCATCACCTGAGGCTGCTTGGCCAAAGAATTATAATTGAGCCAAGAACCTGGGGGGGGGGAAATGCTAGCTGGTATTCTGATGGACTAAAAGCCTGAACTATGATTCTCATAGAATCACAGATTTGGAAGGGGCCATACAGGCCATCTAGTCCAACCCCCCCTGCTTAATGCAGGACCAGCCCAGAACATCCCTGACAAGTGTTTGTCCAGCTGCTGCTTAAAGACTGCCCATGAGGGGGAGTACACCACCTCCTTAGGCAGCCGATCCCACTGTTGCACAACTCTTCCTGTAAAAAAAACGTTTCTCCCAGTATCCAGCCAGTACCTTCCCGTCCTTCATTTAAGCCCACAATTGCGAGTCCTGTCCTCTGCTGCCAACAGGTACCGCTCCCTGCCCTCCTCTAAGTGACAGCCCTTCAAATACTTACATTGCAATGGAAAGCAACATAGAAAACGCATACACTATGGCCTTTGGAATTAAGGTTGTTGCCATCTGACGCAGCTCTCCGAAATGTGTTAGAGAGTGAAGCTAGGTTTCTTATTTTCTTACTGCTTGATTTTAGATATTAGTGTTGCCCACGGATTAGCATGCTAAATAAACTTTAAATAAATATTTTTAAAAGTTGTGTCTGCTTGTGTGCCCTGGAAACCCACGGGGTCTGGCGTTGGATTCCTTGACAGGTTATGATACCCAATCAGGATACGTTCTTGGCCGCCGTTGCTCTGTGTTGAGGGGAATGCACTTTACACATGTTCAGATACACTGCATTAGGTACTGCATTTTTCTCCTTAGGAAATGGTTCCAGGGATCGGTCCTTATAGGGCAAGGGTAAATGAGTAGAGTGAGTTTGGGCCTAACTTTCAAGATGAGTAAAGCTACAGGAAGATCCATGATTTTTATTTTTTAGACTGCAAGGATTGCGATTTAAAGTACAAGACTATTGGGAGGGGAAAAGAGGCTCTGTTTCACTCATTCACTTAACACGATTTCCTCCACCTCTCCCAGCTTCTCTATGATGTGGAAAATACGTACAGGGTACCATCTCTGATCAAAGGAACACAAACACGTTTTCTTTTAAGGCCTTCCTACATAGGTTTATTCTATGCTTTTCATTACCTTTCTTTGGTGTTTTGGAGAAGAGACTTGGCTGCCTCAGGCTCAGCTTTTAGAAGGGTTTGGTACATAGAAAAGGACTGGAAATACCCCAGGACTCCAGCCACAGTAAAAGGCACTGTGCCAAAAATATCCGTGATCCTGGAAAGAAATAAGAACAGTTTAGGATGGGAAGAACTAAGCAAGGAGTCCAATAGTCTTCTGCAACAGTCGGAGGGAATGGCAATTAGTAGCCTCATCCTATGCGTGTTTGGTGTAGTGGTTAGGAGCACGGACTCTCATCTGGGAGAACTGGTTTTGAGTCCCCAGCCAGTGTTCCCTCTAAGCTGAGTTAGTGTGAGCTAGCTCACCGTTTTTTAGCCTCCGGCTTACACGTTTTTGTCTTAGCTCAGGCAGGATGGCTCCAGAGCAGACTAATTTATGCAGCAACCAAATCGCTCGTAGCTCACAAAGAAGAATTCTTGCTCACAAGACTCCACAGCTTAGAGGGAACATTGGTCCCCACTCCTTCACATGTAGCTGCTAGGTGACCTTGGGTAAGTTACGAGTTCTCTCACGAACAGTTTTCTCAGAGCTCTCTCAGCCCCACCTACCTCACAGGGTGTTGTGGGGAGGGAAAGGGAAAGGAGATTGTAAGTCTCCAAGTGAAGGGCGAAGTATAAATCCAATCTCTTCTTTATTCTGGCTGAATTTGGTGGGATTTACATGCAAGTGGTAACCTAGAATCACAGTCTTGTGTTATGTCATATGCTCCAACAATCTCTGTTTGCCGGGAACAACCCTTATTTTCTGACCCCTCGTAAATCAGTCACCCACTTGCAGAGGGGGCACCTTTGTTAAAATGGTGTTTGTATGAGTTCTGAAAGGTTCCCTCATCCTCCAGCACTTTAATCTCCAAGCTTGCCTGCATTCATTGTGCCTCTAGCACATACCTGCGTAAAGGCGTGTGTGAGAGAGGTGGTACCATGCACAGTGCACAGCCTGCCCTTTCACACACTGCAGCGGCTGATAATCTCTTATCGGGACATTGTGTTTTTCTAGTATATCTTTGTAACCCAAAGAACAAGGGCCCTCTTGGCGCTCCAATCTGGGGAGGAGAAGCACTTGTAGAATAAATGAACACGGCCATGGGAATACGCAGGGCTCTTTTTGTAGCAGGAACTCCTTTGCATATTAGGCCACACACCCCTAATGTAGTCAATCCTCCAAGAGCTTACAGAGTTCTCCTTACAGGAGCTACTGTAAGCTCTTGGAGGATTGGCTAAATTAGGGGTGTGTCACTTAATATGCAACAACATGCACTGGTGTATGGGGTGGCGGACCAAGGCTTGATATGAGAATTAGCGTAATTGCAATGAGGTCTCCCTCTTCTCACCTGTGAAATATTGGAGGGAATGGTCTTATACAGATTGATAAAACATAGCAGGCAGAAGCATAAGAGGGGAGGGGGTTCTTGGATTCTTTCATAGTTGTTGGGGGAGGGGCTTCCCTTATGTCATAGCCGACTTACGGCAACCCTGTAGAGTTTTCAAGGCAAGGGATGTTCAGAGGTAGTTTGCCATTGCCTGCATCCACATAACAGCCCTGGTATTCCTTGGAGGTCTCCCGTCCAAATACTAACCCATGAGGGGTTGCCGTAAAACAGCTGTGACTTGACAGCAACAACAACAAAAGGATAAGTACAGACAATAGCGTAACGAAAGAGATCAGACTCGAATATCAAATCCCGGAAAAGGACCAGCATGTTGACAGAAAGGTCGGCTGCCATTTTCTGCACAGAACAGGGGTCCCCAACATAATGGCCCCGGTTGCCTGGACACCCACCAAGTGATTTTAGAAAGTGGGTGGGGCCAGGTGGGGCTCTTGCCCAGCAGGACTTTTGATTGGCCACTGGAGATCCAATCAGCTGTGCGGATTAAAATAACGTCGTTTCAGTGGCCGCTGCCAGCACAGTATTCGTTTTATTCTCTCACTCCTCCTTCCCACTGCATTTCTAAAATTACCCTCTTCTCTCCTGCACTCACAGTCTTCCTCTGTGTGGCTGGCTCCCCCTCCTGCGGCAGCCATTTTGCGGTTGTGCCCGTGACCCTGTTCCAGAATTCCAAAGGTACCCACAGGCTCAAAGAGCTGGGGGGGGGGGCTGGCACACAGGATGCCAAGCAGCTGACGCAGCTCTTAGCAAGCACAGCCATGTGTGTGGCCATCCCGAACAGTAGCACTGACTCACCTCTGCTTGTCCTGAAACGGCAGGGCGTCAAATACCATTTTGTAATCATCTTCTACACGACAGACTCTGTCGTTGGCATATTTGAAGATCGCTTTCCGAAACTGAGAAGGAAAAGGAGGTCATTGAAACAGAGACGAACATCGGGATGCCCTCCCTTGATTTGGGAGAATCTCTCTACACAAGAGACATCATACACATTTTTGGTCCCCACTGCATACACTGTATTCTGAAAGCCATCCCTCTTGGATCATAATCTCTGTTCTCAGCTTTTCTGTGGGGCAAATTTGGGGGATGCCTTTCCAAAATCTTACAACAAAGTTTGAGTCCTGTGGCACCTTTAAGACCAACAAAGTTTAATTCTGGGCATAACCTTTTATGTGCATGGCTAGAATTAAAGTTTGTTGGTCTTAGACTCAGAATTAAACTTTGTCGGTCTTAAAAGGTACCACTTGACTCAAACTTTGTTCTATTGCTTCAGACCAACATGGCTGAATCGTTCCAAACTCTTGCTTGTGTTCAACTATGATTTCCATTCTTTGCAATCCAGCTCCTCCCCTTCTGAAGCGAAACCTTCAAGGGGTGTCAGATGGCTCTTGACTGTAATAGTATGCATGCTGAGAAGTCAACGTGCATGAATGCTAAGGCGCAGGAATCCGCTGAAGAGTGATGCACAACACTTGCACATGGGAAAAGGTCTTTCCCTTCACCTACTATTTGATCCTTTTAACTGGAGTTGCTGGGAACTGGACCAGAGACGTCTGCATGCAAAGCTATGCAAATGCTATGCTATGGAATCGGGCTTGGGTCTCCTCTCTCTGGTATGTCTTTCTCTAGCCCCCGCACAGGGCAACATTCTGGATTCTCTTTTGCAAAGCTGACTTGTTGGCTCACCTCTTCAAAGATCTCAGTCAACTTCTCTGTACAATCCTTGTAGTGGAGTTGCATGTCCAAGCAATTGGTGGACAACACCACACAGCCAGAAGGCTTGAGGACTCTTTCCACTTCCTTCATGAAGCGTGGGATATCAAACCAGTGGACTGCAGCGAAAGACAGGATGAAGTCCACAGAGTTATCATTGAAGGGGAGGTTTTCTGCAGGACACACGCTGGGTGAGGAAGCAGGAAAACAACTTTTATTGTTAATTATTATTGAGACAGTGCCTAGGTGCACTCCATCTCCCTGCTGACAATCTACAGCAGCCATTTTCAAGCTTTCTGTCTTTGGGGAACACTTTCTGTATTGATCTGGGTGCTGAGGAACTTGGGCGCATCTGCAGCAGAACCTCTGCAAATTGCAGAGGATTCTGGGCCATATTCGTAGTTCATCCAGAGTTCATAGAATCATAGTTATTTATTTATTTATTTATTTATTTAATTTCATTTATACCCCGCCCTCCCCGCACGCGGGCTCAGGGCGGCTTACAGTATACGGATGCCATACAACACCATAATTCCACAATCAAGGCACACAGTGCAATAAAAGTGCAATTAAAACATTTTAAAACAATTAAATACAGTGGGCAGCGCCCAAGGATCCCACGTGACTGACACACTCACTCCCTATTGCACATACCCTTGAGTCAAAAAGGGAGGATGCTGTGGCCCCGATGTTCAATGGCCAATCAGCCTCATCCAGCGGTGCTGCTATACAGGCCCCTGTTGGTGGTGGTGGCGGCGGCGGTGGCTCCTATTCGAAAGCCTGGTGGAAGAGCTCCGCCTTACAGGCCCTGCGGAACTGTAACAGGTCCCGCAGGGCCCTGATCTCCTCCGGGAGCTCATTCCACCAGATAGGAGCCGCCACCGAAAAGGACCTGGCCCTTGTGGCAGCAAGCCTGGCCTCTTTAGGGCCCGGGGTCACAAGATGGTGTTGAGACCCCGACCGAAGTGCTCTTTGGGGCCTGTGTTCATAGAGTTCAGAGTCCATAGAATCATAGAATGTTAGAGTTGGAAGGGACCTTGCAGGTCATCTAGTCCAACCCCCTGGGGCCCAATGCAGGAGCATGGGGGATAGTTCATGGAGGCTATCATAGCTGAGGCGCACACTCTCAAGACAATGAAGAGCCCTGCCCTGACCTAGATAGCCCAGGCAAGCCCGATCTCATCAGAGACACTGGGAACATTGGGAACATTTTCAGATTCCATTCTTGTGACTGGGCGCGCACGTGTGTGTGTGACATGAAGCCAATATGGAATCACTGGAGCTGCTGCATATATGGGGGGGGGGGGGGAGACCATTCTTACTTACAGGTAAGAGACATTTGGAGGATGGGCCGCTTGCTTGGCCTCCTCAATCTGAGCTTCACTGATGTCCGTTCCAACCACCTTCTCAAACCGCTTTGCCAGCCACGGCGTACTTTGGCCTGAGCCACAGCCCACGTCCACCGCCAGCTGAAAGGAGCTCACTTTCTGTGGGAAGAGTGGGACACCCTGCCAGTCACATACAAAATCCTCTGTGTTCCACATGCAGACATTCATTTCTCGTTAACAACAGGCCACAAACTACCTATGGAGTCCCCAGCCATCAGGGTTCCCAGACCCCCACCGGGGGGGCTGAATTTACCATAGAGTTTGCCCAAATACCAGAGTGTCACACACACACCCCGCTCCCAACGTCCCCATGTCACTTCCAGATGATGGCAGCATGTTGAGGCAGGCACTTTCAGCCGGCCGGGTGAGTACGCCTGGCAACCCTACCAGCCATTGGTTGAGTTGTTGCGACATTAACTGCTTAGTGCAGGGGTGCCTGGGGGTGCTGTGGTGTCCACCAACACCTTCCAGGCACCCAGTGTCTTTAGAAAGTAGGCAGGACTTTTGGCCAGCAGGGCTTCCGATGGGTCAGAATTAATTAAAATGAAACAGCCTCCTGTTAAACAGAGTTTCTGCCTGAAATGTTGAGGAGTTACTACCAGATTTATTCAGGGGTCATTTCGTAGAAAAAGAGGTGCAGGAGCTCATTAGCATAGCTCATTGGTGTAACTTATTTGCATATGCCACACCCCCTGACATCACCGGAAGTGTGTCAGAAGGCAACACCCACCACTCATGCTCCACTGGACTGTTTTGGATTGCTAGCTATTGGGGGGGACGACGTGCAGATCTGTCCTCATAGAGGAGGGAGAGCTTGTACCTGAATAAAACTTGATCTTAAAGGTGCCACTGGACTGTTTTCGACCGGGGGGCCGGGGGGGGGAGCTCTGCAACTTACCTGGCTGCTTCTTGCTCTGACTGAGGGCTGCTGGGAGCAGGGGGTGGGGCTTGTTGCATGTGCCCGCCCCCTGGGCTCCTTACTGCCGGAGCTCCGCTTCTGTGCGCTCCTGCAGGAAATGACCCCTGGATTTATGCACAACCCCGCCCGCTGACATTTTGTGATCGGCTCCACCTCCTGTGATAACCATTTTGTGCTTGGCTGTTGTACCCCCTACGGCAGCCATTTTGTGGCTGCAGCCACCACCCTGTGTCAGAATTCCAAAGATGTCTACAGGCTCCCAAAGGTTGGGGAACCCTGGCTGAGTGGGAAGGCTGGAGTCCAATGCCTACTTTCTCCCGCACCCATCTAACTTCTCCCAGTCCTGTTGTATCGAGCACTGCTGAGGGTCAGATCCATCCTGCCTCAGCCTTCATCCCAATCGATGCCAGCCCCACAAGCCTTGAGTCCAGGGCACCTTTAAGTCCAACCAAGTTTGACTCAAGGTACGAGCTTTTGTGTGAATGCGCACTTCCTCAGATACACTGAAATGGAAGTTAACAGCTGACAGACAGATAGATGCCTCTATATAGGTGAACAGCAAACTAGCATACAAAATAATGACGTTGTTTTAACAGATGCAAAAACTTAAATAGGAATAGTAAGTTTGTACGGTCGCCATTTGTTTGGATTTAATTACGGGAAAACACAGTAGGGCAAATAAATACATCAAAACAGGAGACGGATGTGTAACGGTAACCTTCTTAATCGTGGAGTGCGAAGAATGTCATGTGCTTAAACTCCCTTTGTCCCCTCTCAAGCATGTAGGTAATTAACAGCATCCTTGTCTTTGAGGTGGGGTGAATGGCTGGGCACCAGATCAGAGAAATACCTTCTAATATTCATTACATTCGCCTGGATCTAGCTCCAGAAGCTGACAGAGTCAGGCCTTCGCTGGGTTTCTCAAGACTGGCAATGGCCACTTAAGCTATTCACACACACACACAATTTTAAAAAGCAGCTTTCCCCAGCAATTAATTTTCCCCCCCAACCAACAACTATAGAACTACACTATGAAATGTAAAGAGAGAAAAAAAATTAAAAACTCAAACAAAACCATCCTAAGGAGGAATTCTGCCCCGGGGCGTTCTCTCATTCGACCTTTCCCCTGTCCTGCTACCCCACCCCGCTGGGATCGCCGCCGCCTGCTTCCCCTCCCCCCTACTTTTCAGACTTCAGGACCGCCCGGGCCGGAGGCTTTACCTTGTTCTCCAGGTAGGAGGAAATGACCTCCTGGAGCTTCTCGGGGAGCGAGAACCGGTATCTCTGGTAGACAGAAGCATGCTCCTTCCCTTCAAACAAATGCGTGGCCATTTTCAAGTCGACCAGCTCCGACTTGAGCAACAACCAGCAGCTCTGCTTTTTAGCAAGAGCCTCATCGGGGCGGGACTGGGGGGGGGTGTTGCTTTCTGATTATTTGATTGGGACCTTTGGACTGGGCAAACTCCAGACTTCCTGATTCCCTCCCCCTCCCTAGATGGCAGCGCTGTTGGCAGCGTTGATGCCCGGCGGAGGAGGGGCAGATCGGAGGGCTCCGGAAGGCCGGGAAGTCTCTGCCAATATAGGGGGTGGTGCCTCTGCTGCGGTTATACAACGGAGAGAGGCAGAACTTCCTATGACCCCAGCGCTGCTCCGCTCCGCCTCGCCTCGAGGCTGCTGGAAGCAAAACAGACCAGCGTGGTTTGGAGCGCAAGATCCGTGTGCCGACGTTAAACCCTTCCTTAGGCTGGGCTCAGATTAAGCCCTGCTCGGACCCGAGTCCAGAAGCTGGGAAACTGGGTCGTGAAGAGGCCACGTCCGCCGTTAATTCATCACTGATTATTATTGTGACAGAAGTGGAAAGGAGAAAAAAAAAAAAGGACAGCCCAAAGAATGAAGTGGTGTCCATTCACCACCAGGTGGCGGTCTTTCCCATGGCTGGATCTCAGTATTTATTTATTTATTTATTTATTTATTTATTTACAATTTTTAACAGTTCTAACATTTCAAACAGTGAACAATTAATCTGCCAATTACATTCACATCCTGTAAATAGTTCCTGAGTATGTACAACGTTATAACATGTTCAAAGAATTACAATACATTACTCATCATACTTC